ACTTAAACTTTGCTATTTATTTATTAAATGAGCGATCGTTTTGCTTGATAAGACCCTTATTCATCATCTGGAATCGTTTAAAGCCCTTTGAACAGTTTTCACTGAAACTGTCTTTTGGACCTTCAACTGTTTGGTTCCCATTGAAGTCCATTATATGGAGAGAAATCCTTAATTTCTTTTCAACTGAAGAAATAATGACATGGACATTTTGGATGACATGTGGGTGAGTAAATTATCAACAAAAGTTTTTTCTAAAAGTAAACTACTCCTTTAACATACAGTTAACAGTCATTCAAAATATAATGTATTGTGGTAGTATGTTGTAGAACTAAAACATGTCTAACATAACATCCCCGGTTGGTAAGTGTGCAAGATTAGAGGTGTCCTGATACATGTCCAGCTCTGTTTTCTTTTCTTTTCTCTCCCACTTTTGCTATCTAACTCTTTCCTCACTGAAGAAAACAGCTGCGTTATGTCAGAATAGAGGTGTAAAGGCTAAAGTGCGTATGTTTGGCTCAGTGTATGATCACCAGTTATTTGTAAACCTTCATGTTGAGGGAGAGACAGATATAGAGAAAGAATAGGAACACACATAGACGCCGGGATACTGTCTCTTTCTCCAGTCACAGTGACATCAATGAGGGTCACTGGGTTAGCCGGGGAAGGTTCCAGAAAAAGGCCCACTTTAATGTTAGCCGTAATTAATAAGCTTGTGTGTGTGTGTGAGAGAGAGAAAGAGAACTTGTGACGAGCTGTTAAGAAAGCTTGTGTTTGAAGAAGAGATTGGGGAGGGTTTTTGGAAAAGGCTGTTTTCAGTTGAAGGACATCAATGGTTGCTGGTGAAAAAAGAGCCTCATTGAAATTCATGGCTTAGTACCTATAGCATTGTGCATTTGGAGAGAGATTGAAAGTCTGACAGATTTCAATTAAAATGGCATTTACAAGAGATGGGAAAAAAGCGGGGCCTGAGGCCGTGTTGGTGTATGCACTCATGAATAGTGAACTGGTTTGTACTGAAATTCATTTGTTACATAAAATGACAGACTTGTCAAACTTTGCCAAACGTGCCAAGATTTGAATGCAACCTTAAAAAAGTTACATCACTTCCTGCTCAAACTCATTTATGAAAATGAGAAAATCTTTTTCGTGTCATTTGGTTCATTCAACGAACGAAATGAACGAGTTGACTCGGGAAAAGATTTGTTCATTTTGATAAACGAGTTCGAACAGGAGAGTCACAAACGTGCATCACAGAACAGAGCAAGGCGACCATTTGAGCTCATAAAACTTAAAATTTGTTATTTATTTATTAAATGAGCGATCGTTTCGCTTGATAAGACCCTTATTCATCGTCTGGAATCGTTTAAAGCCCTTTGAACAGTTTGCAGTTTGCACTGAAACTGTCTTTTGGACCGTGAACTGTTTGGTTCCCATTGAAGTCCATTATATGGAGAAAAATCCTAAAATATTTTCATCAAAAATCTTCATTTCTTTTCGACCTGAGAAAGAATGACATGGACATGGGGGTGAGTAAATTATCAGCAAAAGTTTTTGGAAAAGTGAACTACTCCTTTAAAATGCTGAACACTTCTACACATCAGAAGCAAGCTAAATCATATTCGGAGCCACTGGGCTAAAACAAAACTTTTCCACCCTTGTAAAAAGTTGCCATCTTAAGAGGTCTTTATTTTATATGTATCCACATTATGTTGACGTTCTGAGCTACAAAGACAGATTCCATCCTATTCTCTCCATCTATGGACATATGAGACTATTTTGTCGGCCCAGAAGAAACGCCGGGTTGAGCTGTACTGCAATTGGTGTATAAATTATTATCCCTTAGACTTTAAAAGGTGGCTTCTCTTTTGACATTGCATTTGGGGCTTTTAGAGCACTTATTTTAAGTGGTGGGTTTATGAGTAACAGAGCGCATGCACACACAGAGTGTATACTGATATTAAACACACGTATGCATGAGCCTGCTGTCTTTTTCTCTCACAAGCACTCACTTAAAATTTCCCATATTCTCTCACATATTTCCTGAGTGCTGCTGTGGATGTACACACACACATGTAGGAATGACAGTCTGAGGTGAAAGAGGTCAGTATTTTGTTTCTGTCTGTGTTCTTGTGACAGCTGGATGGCAGGTTTAAAACTTTAGCCGGGCAGAAGGTCTTGTTTAATCTCCAGCACTTCCAGTTAAAACCCTATCAAACCCTTTGCAGCCCAATCAAGTCTCTCACTATATTAGTCTGCCAATCACTGACCTAGACTTGTGTTTAAAATGTCCCATAGTACTTCACGCTCTCACACCGTTGGGTGAGAATTGTGGCAGATCTCTTTGTCGTTTAAAGGTTTGATGACCTCTCCAGAGTCCACGTTAATTAGGCACATCAAGGTGTCCTCTGGGACGCCGACAGAAAAGCAGCCTACTTTAGGCTCTGTCCTGAGAGCACTTAGCGCCTCTGAAGAGGCTACAGAGGGGGCAGAGATGCAAGAACCCGCCATGTTTCCACGGAGACTTGCTTTTGTGTACATACACATTCTTTGCTCATTGTTTGGACTGAAGATGAGGAGGATGTCCATTAGAGAAGCCCAACAGTTCCTTTCTGTCATTCCTTGTCTGGCTCTTTTATTCTGGGCTTTTATGTTATCATTTTGTTTAGGAAACTTGGAGGATTCACTCAGGACGGTGAGAGATGCTGTGTTAGATAACCGTTATACTCTACTTATGAGATCAGAGAAAGAGGAAAGAGCAAACTGAAATTTGTCATTTCCTGAACTGAACATTCTGTCATTTTATGCAACGTCATGTCATCCAAAAACCTGCATGATTTTCTGCCCTAAATATATATATATATATATATGTAGTTTGTATACAGATAGATAGATAGATAGATAGATAGATAGATAGATAGATAGATAGATAGATAGATAGATAGATAGATAGATAGATAGATAGATAGATAGATAGATAGATAGATAGATAGATAGATAGATAGATGGATGGATGGACAGATAGACAGATAGGATGGATGGATGGATGGATGGACGGATGGATGGATGGATGGATGGATGGATGGATGGATGGATGGATGGATGGATGGATGGATGGATGGATGGATGGATAGATAGATAGATAGATAGATAGATAGATAGATAGATAGATAGATAGATAGATAGATAGATAGATAGATAGATAGATAGATAGATAGATAGATAGATAGATAGATAGATAGATAGACAGATAGAATGGATGGATGGATGGACGGATGGATGGATGGATGGATAGATAGATAGATAGATAGATAGATAGATAGATAGATAGATAGATAGATAGATAGATAGATAGATAGATAGATAGATAGATAGATAGATAGATAGATAGATAGATAGATAGATAGATAGATTAGATGGATGGATGGATGGATGGATGGATGGATGGATGGATGGATGGATGGATGGATGGATGGATGGATAGAATAGATAGATAGATAGATAGATAGATAGATAGATAGATAGATAGATAGATAGATAGATAGATAGATAGATAGATAGATAGATAGATAGATAGATAGATAGATAGATAGATAGATAGATAGATAGATAGATAGGTAGATAGATAGATAGATAGATGGATGGATGGACAGATAGACAGATAGGATGGATGGATAGATAGATAGATAGATAGATAGATAGATAGATAGATAGATAGATAGATAGATAGATAGATAGATAGATAGATAGATAGATAGATAGATAGATAGATAGATAGATAGATAGATAGATAGATAGATAGATAGATAGATAGATAGATAGATTAGATGGATGGATGGATGGATGGATGGATGGATGGATGGATGGATGGATGGATGGATAGAATAGATAGATAGATAGATAGATAGATAGATAGATAGATAGATAGATAGATAGATAGATAGATAGATAGATAGATAGATAGATAGATAGATAGATAGATAGATAGATAGATAGGTAGATAGATAGATAGATAGATAGATGGATGGATGGACAGATAGACAGATAGGATGGATGGATAGATAGATAGATAGATAGATAGATAGATAGATAGATAGATAGATAGATAGATAGATAGATAGATAGATAGATAGATAGATAGATAGATAGATAGATAGATAGATAGATAGATAGATAGATAGATAGATAGATAGTACATCAAATATTTATATATATATATATTATTTTATAGATAACATTTGCTAACATTTCCTTGCAATTACATTTAATCAGAGTTTTTAATCTTTAAAACGACAGAAAAGCATATTAAATTGTTGAGCCTTGAGCCGAACTGAAGAACTAAATCGTTCTGATTCGTGAACTGGATCAGGCCACTCATTGAAATTAGAACTGTTCGTTCATGATACATTGCTCTATTTATAAGAGTAATGACTTAAATGGTCTATTTTCACATATAGTCTACATATTCTGTCAGAAGATTTGGAATATAGAGCACAGGTTGAATGGACCACTTTTTTACGATACTTTTAGAATGCATATATAATAAATAATAGGCCTAATTTTGAATAATAATAGTTATTGCATTGGAAAAAATCGATATGCACTTCACAATTTCACTTTTTGTCTTCCCTGGAAGAAAGAAAGTCATACGGGTTTAGAACGACATGAGGGTGAGGAAAGGATGACCGAATTTTCATTCGTGGGTGAATTATTCCTGTGGGTGAAACAGGGGGAGAGATTTTGCAATCTCAGAAGAAAACAGGATTGTAGATGTTTGCTGAGCATGTCGTCCGTGGAGAGAGTCTTTGTGTGCGCTTCCACAGGTCAGCCGGTGTCAGTGTTGTTCTCTGTGTGAAAAAAAAGGTCCTGTGGCAGAAACATTAAACTAATTTACACCACTCATAAAAATCACACGCTCATCTCCAGGAGCCTGTCAGAGGAGTGTTTGTAATGGGAGATTACATGACTGTAACTCAGCTTTCTCTCTGTCTTTCTTTTGGTAGATGGGATGAACTGTATGAATAAGGAACATGGCTGTGCCCATATCTGCAGAGAGACTCCCAAAGGTGGTGTGGCGTGTGAGTGCCGTCCGGGATTTGAGCTGGAGGAAAATCAACGTGACTGCAAATGTAAGTACCAACTTAGCAAAACAATCATTTTAATATCATCTCTCAGACTCCTAAAATTAAAAATTGTACTCTGTTAGTTATGTAACCCCTAACCAGAATATAAATGACACGATACGACTGGATGTGAGTGTACATCATATTAAAACATTTGTCAAAAATACTACTAATTTCTTCTGGCTTTTGGTCTTACGATTTTTTCCCTCAATACACTCATAATTAGTGTTTATTAATAGTTCAGGGATGTAAAATATGATGATGCCGAATAAGGCATTATTATGTGCTTTAAGTACTAATAAACAGCCAATATCCTAGTATTATGCATGCTAATAAGCAACAGTTAATAGTGACAATTGGACCCAAAACTAAAGTGATCCCAAACTTTTTAGTAAAGTAAAAAGTAAACAATTCTGCTTGATGTACATTTAAAATGGCCACATTATAATTACAATTAATGTAGCTAGAAATTATAATGTCATCATGTATATATTGATCTTATTCAAGTTAACAACACTTGTTTAGATTCTTTTCAAGTGGTATAAAAAAATCCCTTAGTTTTTCCTTATGGCCACAAGTGGCTTCTGAATATACATCTCAAAGAAAAACGGCTGGTGGCATCAAAGCCAAACAACAGGTTTACAGATTGATTTTAGTCTGTCCTCTAATACTGATCTCCCCTTACACAAACCACCTCAGCCACTGATCTGTCATGGACTTGTAAGTTATAGTGCTGTGGCTCTGGCCTGAACATCTGGAGAACTTTCATCTACGATTCGTCATTCTTCTATTTTTAATACTAGTGGGAAAATCGTGGACCAAAGTCCTTCAAACTCCTATTCGTCCAAGTATTGCACAATGTATTAGATGTGGACAGTCTCTTTGTCCAACCAAAGGCATTTGACATCCACAAATGATATTGGATGTGTTTTGTCCTCTTTTGTTAAAGGAGTAGTTCACTTTAAAAAAAAAACAACTTTTGCTGATAATTTACTCACCCCCATGTCATCCAAGATATCCTCGTATTTCTTTCTTCAGTCAAAAAGACATCAAGGTATTTGATGAAAACATTCCAGGAAATTCCCCATATAATGGACCTCAATGGCAACCAAACGGTTCAAGGTCCAAATGAGAGTTTCAGTGCAGCTTCAAAGGGCTTTAAATGACAAGACGATGCATAAGGGTCTTATCTAGGACCCTTTGAGTCATGACTCGAAAAAAGATTTGTTCATTTTGATGGTGAACAGGAGAATCACGAACACTCATCACAGAACAGAGCAAGGCGAGCATTTGTGCTTATAAAACTTAAACTTTTTAATTTATTTTTTAAATGACCGCTAGTCCAGATAAGGCCCCTATTCATCGTCTGGTGTCATTTAAGGCCCTTTGAAGCTGCACTGAAACTCTCATTTGGACCTTGAACCGTTTGGTTCCCAATGAAGTCCATTATATGGAGGAAATCCTGGAATGTTTTCATCAAAAACCTTCATTTCTTTTCGACTGAAGAACGAAAGACATGGACATCTTGGATGACATGGGGGTGAGTAAATTATCAGCAATTTCTTTTTTTGAAAAGTGAACTTGAAGAGTTCAGATGCAAAAGCCTCTAAGTGACATTTGAAATTTTCTTCTAGAAGGATCATTTTTATCAAGCTTGTATATTTAAGTTCAGTGATTTCACTTAAATGGCAATGATAATTACCTATTAATTGTTATTGAAGTGAAATCACTAAACTTAAATATACAAGTTTGATAAAAATCATCATTAAAGAAGAAAATTTCAAATGGCATTTAGAGGCTTTTGCATCTGAACTCTTCACTTGTCCTTTTAAGCCTATTTATTTTGCTACACTACAAGGTTATTTATTGGCATTAATGGTTCCATAAAGAACCTTTAACATTCATAGAACCTTTCTATTGCACAAAAGGTTCTTTATAGTGGAAAAGGATTCTTAAACCCTGTTGTTCATAAAAAATGGTTCTTTTAAGAACTGTTCGCTGAAGGAAACCTTCTATAGCATCACAGCAACCCCCTATGTAACTATACAAGATTATATACATTTTATTTTCCCCATCTGTCAATGACCAAAGTGTATACATAAAAAAAGAGTTTCTGCCTTAAATTCTTAAATGGATACTCCACCCAAAAACCACTTACTCACCCTCAAGTTGTTGCAAACCTGTATGAGTTTCTTTCTTCTGATGAACACAAAGGAATGATTGGAACTTTGGCACCCTTGACTTCCATAGTATTTTTGTTTTCTACTATGGAAGTCAGTGGTGGCAAACAACTGTGTCCTTCAAAATATCTTCCTTGTGTTCAGAAAGAAACTCATACAGGTTTGCAACAACTTGAGGAGGAGTAAATGATGACAGAATTTTCATTTTTGTGTGGAGTATCCCTTTAAGTGAAATAAAGTAAATTCAACTTAAATTACATTAAACTGACTTAAACAAATAAGCTGAACTAAAAAGTTTGTAAAACATATGTTGTAAAACATATCATTTTTTACAGTGTATGTGTACCTTGATTAAAGGGGTGTCCAGGGAGGTACACTATTCTTTTTAGCCCTCCTCACAGTTCTTGTGTGTTGCCAGTGACATGTAACTATGGAAATGGTGGTTGCCAACACTCGTGCGATGACACCGACGTGGGGCCTGTGTGTGGATGTCATCAGAAATATGCCCTGCATTCGGACAGCAAGACCTGCATTGGTAAGTCACTCTCTCTCTCTCTCACACACACACACACACACTGCCTGGTTGTTTATATACAGTACGTTTAGCTTTTCTAACCAAATTCTTCATGGAAACCTCAGCCGTGTCGTATTTACACAATGAGCGCGAGGTGAGTGAGCTTCACCAGGGTTATAAGTGCAGGGCTGTGTCTGACAGATTGGACAGAATGTTTGTTGAAGATGTTTTTGTAGGCCGCTCGAATGGTCCATATCACGGTTTCCGCTTTGAGGGTCCCGGTACACTGCGGTCAGAGAGTGCATTGGGTTTTGGCACAGCGAACCCCAAAGATTGGCCTCACGAACACCCCACTCTCCAGCCCATGTGGCATCCAGGAACGAACTGCTTCCTTGCGGTTCAGGGATCTATAAACATACACACGTCAATTGTAGCATCCTCCACTCATGAAGCAAAACTTTAAAAGGATAGTTTGTCCAAAGATGAAAATTCTGTCATCATTTACTCACCCTCATATTGTGCCAAACCCGTATGACTTTCTGTGTTGCGTGAAGGAGATTTGCACGTCTCTTTTCCATGCAATGAAAATGATTGGAAGCTGTTGAGCTACAAACAGAAATTTGTACAATAGTCTCAAATCTCATTTGTGTTCACAAATGAATCTGATGTGATCTTGGTGTGGGGTTAATGCTCAATATTTGAATGTGAAGTGTAATCAGCCAAAATTTCATTATCTTTTTTTGCATATTTTGTACAGTAGCTTAAAGGGATACTCCACTTTTTTTGGATATAGGCTCATTTTACAACTCCCCCAGAGTTAAACATTTGAGTTTTACCGTTTTCTAATCCATTCAGCCGATTTTCTGATATTTAGAAGAATATCAGTAACAAGACAGTATCTGGTCTCATTGACTTCCATAGTAAGAAACAAATATACTATGGAAGTCAATGAGACCAGAAACTGTGTGGTTACTGATATTCGTCTAAATATCAGAAAATTGGTGGAACACATTATGTGGAAAAGAGAAATGTATATGTTGTCTAAAACAATTAAGAGCTTCAATAATGCATTTGTGTCCATTCAAATATGACAGGTTTGACATCAGTGATAAGGGCGGGAAACGACAACTACAAACCCCTGGCCATGAAAGCATCAAATCCTTGTGGTTCAGGGATGGCGGTAATTTCCAGTGCTTGCTTTAGCAGTTAGTGGCTAATTCAATGATGGAAAAGCCCATTAGTTGTGACACTCAGGGAGTGACACAGCTAATTTGGTCATTCATCTTCTCTTCTGGCTTTCATGCTCTCATTCTCTCACACACACGCAGCTCTGTGTGACTATTAGGGCAGAAAATGAGACTTCTGATGTATCTTGCTCTAGCAAAAGCGCATGAGCCAGAGAAAATGGTGGGTTGGGTGAGAGAGAGAGAGATGTGTGTGCTTGTGTCGGTTTGGGAAGATGTGTTTGATGATGGAAATTTAATCGCTGAACTCTCCGTGTGCAAAACACATTCATCATTCTGATAATGGTGGAAAGGCCAACCAGTCGGCAGATGGAGCTCTGCCATATTTGCCGAAAGGGAAAACTTTATACGCCATGCGGGTACGGCTGCATCCAGGGGCAATACTTCAGAAATGAAGAAGAAAATGTTTTTTCTTTCTTTCTCAACTCACTCTTTCTTTTTGAAATTCGGGAAGACAAATGACCCACTGCAGGTAAGTTTAATTTTTATGCTTGCTTTCTTAGAGTGAACCTCATGGCCTCTGCAATGTTTGACCTGCTTTTATAATTTGTTATGCCAGCATGTGTGCTTGAGTTAAGGAAACCCTTCGAGATCATCTTTTTTATGTCATTTGGCTCTCGTGAGTCTTTGCTGTCTCCTCAAACTCCTCCAACTGAAGGCCGGCTACCACATCATCAGCCGATACAAAGTTTATTTCAGTTACGAGAGTACACGTACCCTAAATTTAACATTTAGAGCAGTTTGGATCATTACTCCAGGTGTGCGTAAGCATAAAACCTTCCAGACAGGGTGTATGCACATGAACTGGGACTGAAACGTTGTAAATGTGGGGATAGAGACTTTGTAGTTGGCAGGTGGGTTTAGTGGGCTCGCATGGGCTTGTGAGCCAGTGAAGGGTCATCAGTCATGTGAAGCGCACAGGAAACGCATTTACACTCCATGTTACATGAGTTTTACCGCACTGCAGTGTGGACAATCAAATCCTCACACCCAGGCCAAGAAATTCCAGTGGCTGTAGTGACGTTAAATGTTTATATAAAGGCACGCACATTCAGAACAATAACAAAGGCGTAGCTTAATGGTGCTGTGAAGTAGCGTGGTAGGACGGGAGTTGTAGTCTTCTTCACCTCCACTGCCAATAAAATGCTTTCTGTTGGTAAACGTTATCCAAACAGTTGCTCACCTAATAAAACACACGAAAGATCAGCGTCTCTGTCCAGTTGAAGTTTATCGCGAAGCTCTCTCCATCTAGTAAATGCCACTCCAAAACTGATTCTTGTGTTATTTCTCCTCTTGTCCCAAACTCTTCTTGGGTCATTACTGTACGTTCACACCACCGCCGACTTGAGCGTCAAAGAAGCTCTGGCCGCTCTGTCAAGGACGCTTGTCAAAAAGTACGGGGAAGCTTGTTGACGCTTTGAACGTTCTGACGTTGCAGGGACAACATGAAATGTAATAAACAGAAAAAAAAAACAAGCAATACATAAAGAAACCTTTTATAATGATAAAGCATTTTTATAACCGTTTTGGTCACATTTGGTTGGGAAAAAATAGTTAGCTATTATTATTATTATTGTTATTTGCGGTCAAATCGCTGTCACCATGAGCAAATTAATTGCATTCCCGCTTTAAAGCGAGTGTTCGTAAATATTTCAAATAAAAGTTGCGCTCATGTGGTCCCTAAGCAAACAACGTCATGTCATAAATAATACGAATCCAGTAGGAATCACAGCAACGGAGATTATTAGCTTCTCCTCCATTTACACGGAGCTAATGTTTTGGTAGGTACGAAAGTTTCTCCGGAATCAGCCGGCGTGAAGGAGGTCTATATTCCGATTGGTTGCTGGCGTTTTTGCCGCTGATTGCCACTGAACCGTGTCACAGCTCATTACCATAAAGTTGAGCTTCTTTCGACTTTCTGATTGACGCTCAAAACGGCCAAAACGCGACGCCGATGGATTTGACGCTCCTTGCAGCTGAGAAAAGCCAGCTCCCATTGAAAATTAATGACTTCTGGACGCTTTGGAAGCTGAAGTCGGCGGCGGTGTGAACGTACAGTTAGATTCACCCGTACGTTTACGTTTCTTGGAGTTTTCTTTGGCGACAGAACCTGCTGCAAATCATAATGAGTAATGTGCGAATGTGCGAAACAACGACAGAGTGCCGTGCTAGACGAGTAGACGCTAGCAACTACTTCCGCATTTATTCATGAGACTCACTGTGTTTCCATGTTTTCTATGGCGGTGAAACCGGGGATAATGCGGCCATGGCGCCATTGGCAGGCGACACAATGTTACAAGTTTTTCTGGATTTTAAACATTGTTAGAAACATTTGGGATAATATATTTACACAAGTGAACAAAATATATAACACTGTGCTAGTGGTTTTCGGATATTTTAATGTCATAATCTTACATATTGCGCCTTTAAAGGGGCAATTTTCAAATGCTGTGCCAATCTGTCAGTCATTTTGGAATCGTGGTATGGATGCAAAAGCTTATAATTTATAGTAATACATGGTTGATTTGTTTGCAATCTAAAATGTCCAATAACAGGTAGTTTACCAAGGTAAATAAGTACTTTTCGGCTTGTTATGTGATCTCAAAATGGCGGTGCTCATGAGGTGACCCACTTTGTGTAGAGTACAGAAACCTTTATTATGCTACTGTTTGTGTCTTTAATGTACAAGAACACAAATCATTCAGATGAATTTTTTCTTATACTACTGTAGATTTTGTGCAAAATGTTTTAATGAAGTACACATTTATAGGGATAGTTCACCCCAGTTTTCTGAAGAGAGAAGAGTGTGAGTAAATGATGGCACAATATTGACTTTTTGGCGAACTATCCCTTTAAATAGTTGTCATTTACCATCATTGAAATGAATATGAAACTGTTAAGCAGCTTTATTTTGTATGATCGTGTCCTGACCAATCATGTTCTGCATTACACTGTCAACTGACAACGTACACGTACATTTCCCCTGACCACAGAAGCATAAATGCAAAAGTTTGTTTTGTTGTACCTGCTGATTGCCGTACACTGGATTGGTTCGCCTCTCTCTGGCAGCTTAGAGCCCGGAGCCAAACTCTCTCCCGTCAAACTCAATCAACTCTTCCTTTCCAGCCTCCACGGAGCGACACCAAGCGGCCGCGGGGACCAGACGAGGAGTGTAGAGACTGCTCCCACCTCATCCCTGTCTCCCTCCTCCTTTCTTCCTCTTCTCTCTCTCTCCCTCTCTCTCTCTGGACCCTCGCTGTGGTCTGTGTGTTTAGCTGTGCTGTGTGGGTATGGTCTTTCACTGTGTTTAGCGCTCCTTTAGGATCCCCCTTTCGCTCCTGTGTGTGGCGTGTCTCATGGGCTCCCTGCTCTTCCTCCTGCTTCTCTGGTGAAAGTTACTGATTGCCTGTCTTGTCTGCAATTTAAAGAGTGATTCTGACTGGAATAAAGTGGTTTATAAGCAAATCTACTAACGAATGCAAGAAAGAAAGGGTAAAACTGGTTAAACACACCTCTCAATTGCAGCCTGATCAACGGTAGAGCCCCCACCAATCAGAAAACAACATCCTCTCTGACCAGCCAATCTGTACACCAGTCCCGCCCCCTGCCTGACCTCTCTGAAATCAGCCAGCCAATGGCATCTTCTCGTTCTTGTCCCCCCACTACAAGCATGAACCAACCCTGTGTGCAACCCTGAATAAAAAGAGTCACTAAACAATGCGAAACTGGCCTCCACTCCACTCTCATCTGTCACTCTTTTTTTCATTTCATTCACTCCTCATGCCAGTTGCATGTTTTCCTTTGCCCTCGCTTTCTTCTTTTACTCTTATCAGCTCACTTCCTGTCCTCTCACACTAACGCACGAGCCGTCATTCGCCTGCATGATTTTGTCCGTGTGAAATATCGTTCTATTTCATTGTTTTTCCTTCTTTATTGTTTAAAAACTTTTTATAGTAACCCCTTTGCTTTTTATGGTTACCGTAGTCACATAAGAGGTAGTGGATTATTGATTATTTTCTCCTTTTCCTGTTTATTTATTTAATTTCTCCGTGACGACATTGCACTCACTCCAACCTCTGATTGGTGGAGTCCTCTAAAGAGGCCAGTCAGAGCCAAGTCATGCAAATCATTAACACAGAAATAGCAGATTTCTGTAAACACACACTGATTTTCTAGTGTCCTCAAGTGACTAAAGAGGGGAGGACAAACAGACTTTCAGTGCCTGATGTTAAAGGGAGTGTTCACCCAAATATAAAAAAAATCATTTACTTAGCCTCATGTCTTTCTTATGTAACACAAAAGGAGATGTTAGGAAGAATGTCCGTGCTGCTTTTTGATTCCACACAATGAAATTAAATGGGGATAAATGCAGTCAAGCTCCAAAAATGACAAACAAGCACCATAAAACTAGTTGACTTCGTACACATCATCAAATATGGCATTTTGACACCATATTTGACAAAAACACACTTTCAAAAGACTTTCAGCAAACAGCTGCTTCAATGTTAGCCTGTTCTTCACACAAGACTCCAAAATGTTGACCTTGTACATTCAAATATGTACACGTTGACCATGTCAATGGCATTAAACCTGGTCTGCATCTTATCTCACCATATTTGAATGTAAGCAAATTCAAATAAGTTGCTTTCAGCAAATAGCGACTTAAATTTTGCCGCTTTCCTAACACCGCTATCACACAGGCTACTTTTATGGTGTGTTTTATTTGTCGTCTTAGAGCTTGACAGCCTCTGCCCCCTTTTATTTAAGCAGCGTGAACATTCTGCTTAATATCTAAGAAAGTCAAATGGGTTTGAAACACCTTGATGACAGAACTGTACTTTTTAGGTGAACTGTCCCTTTAAGGCAAGCATCCACATCCTGATTGGCCCTCCACCCATTCAGGATTGGCTCCTTTTGTCCCCGATCCCTGCCCCTTCCTTCGTCTCTAACACCAGTTCTGTGCTTGTATCTGCATGCTCAGAAGCCATTACCCTCCTCACAACACTCGCCTGGCAATTCCCTACGCTCGGAAAGTGGTTTTCTGCATTTACTCGACTGTCCAAGCCAGTTGTAATGTGTTCCATAGACAAACAGGCAACCAGCGCTGCCCCAGACTCTGTCATTCATCCACCTCTCTGCATGTCCCACCTTCCTCTCATGGACCCCACCATGAGACCTCCATCATTCTTGTGTCATCTTCCTTTCAGCTCTATCTTTGTCACTGAGTGTCCTTTTTTTTGTGTCCTGTTTTGTCATCATCTCATTATCATGCAGTTTGTCTTTTGACTTGTATCCATCCTTCTTCTTTTTCTGTATCCCTTGTCTGTCTCTCTCTCTCCTCTCTGTTACTGCGGTAAACGAGTGGCTGTTTGATATGGAAGACGAACTACAACGGAAACAGCGTCTTATTGTCAATCTCTGCCCCTCCCGTCCAATCCCTGTCCCCCTTTTGTTAAGCTCCTCCCACGTCCCCATGTTCGTTTCCCCCCCTATTCTGGGAGATCTTGATATTCTTTTATATTCATCTGTTTGTTCATGTGATTAACACTCTAACAGGGTTATTTGCGCTTCTTCATGGCTTTACGCCTCTTGGCTTTGGTTTGGGCTCAAACGCCAAGGTGGTCAGGCAGCCCGCGTCCAGGCGTCCACGTGTCGCCAGAGGCGGGTCAGCCTGTAGCGGGGCTGTCTGTGCGGGCGATGGACATTGGGCTTCTCATTAACCTACTCCTCCCTGTTTGTCCCCTGTCACTTGTGTTTTAGAGAAAGATGAGGCTGCAATTGAGAGCTCTGAATTCAATACCACGTCAGTAGCTGATGTGGACAAGCGGGTGAAACGTCGTCTACTTATGGGTAACTCTTTTCTTCCTCTTTCTATGTGTTGCCATGGCGCTTGTGCTTCTACCCCCTCGTTTCTTTCTGTCCTTTAGTTTGTTTGAGTTGCTTTCCTTTCCTTTGCCCTTCCCCCTGAGGTCACTCGTTCGATATTTCTGTGTCTGACCCTCCTACAAATTAGAGAAATGTCCCTTCAAACATGACAAGGTTCCTTTTGCACTCTCCTCAAACTGTCTTCAATGCCGCCGCCTCTTCTCTTTGACCAAAACAACACAACTAACAACTGACCGCTTCCATCCACTCCCATTTCCAAAGACGGAAACAAAAACAACACTGGATTGCTCTACACTGGATGATAAACCAATCCCCGCTTTTCCAGTCGAACATTTCACTGTATGACTTCAACTTTTAGACAGTGATTAGTTGAACTGGAGGAACATTTGTGGGCTGAATACTGAACAAATAATGGCCAGATAATTTTATGGGTAAAGAATGACTTGAGAGTTGGTCCAGACCGTTTCCACATCAGGAGGCTGTGGGCTGCGGTGAACCACCGCTGAAGATGCCTGACATCATTTTTACGCTCTATTAATAGTATGTGTTCCTAAAAATTAAATATTGGCATTTATCGTCTGCCCTTATTTATCTTCTGTCATCTGCGCTCCATAAATGTAGTGTCTGTGACCATTAGAAATGTTTCTATTTTCAATGCTTCCCCTCTTTTAAAGTCAACATAAAATGCCAAACTTGTTTTACTTTCGTAATGTAACGTTTCCAATTGAACAAGATTCAGTGAGAAAAATGTAGGGTTTGATTTTGTCAAATGGGAATTTGCTGGTCATGAGAAAATTTACTTTTGACTATTAGGGTGAATTTCTTGACCCCTTGACTGAAAAAGAAAGTTGTAGAGGCAAAGCAAGTGTTTCTAATTGAATAATCTGAAATAATCTTTTTATTTTAATGATAGTTTGCAGTGATAGATGAATCGTTCACATTAAATGAACTCGGCACCTAGTCAACTGTTCTCTGAGATTTGTTTTCATGATAATCGAATCTAAAGAGTTTTATTTCTAAAAACTGTTCAGCGTATAACGCTAGTAATGGGGGCATTGACTAAGTAAAAAGAAATCGCTATAGTTTATACCACTAACAAGGCTCAAAATAGATCCACACTAACACAGTAACATAATGAGGGTCTATACATGCAAAACGAAGCATTGAGAACTTTGTAAGTGAACAGACCGTTTAATAAGAAGTTAAGTTATAAAGACGGTTCACTTCGCGTATACAGACAGAAGCCATCTTTAGAAAATAGTCTCGATAAGTCAAACCACGAATGCTGTTCATACAGTTCAGATCACTTAGCACGACGTTCATGGTTCGACTTGTCCAAAAGATCATGAAGCCAAAGATGGCTTCTGTCTGTATACACGACTGTCTTCTTAAAATATCTTCTTATTAAACGGTCTGTTCACTTACAAAGTTCTCAATGCTTCGGTTTGCATGTAGGGACCCTCATTATGTTACTGTGTTAGTGTGGGTCTATTTTGAGCCTTGTTAGTGGTATAAACTAGCGATTTCTTTTTACTTATTATATGCCCCCATATACTAGCGTATACGCTAAACAGTTTTTAGAGATAAAACTCTATACATTCGATAATCATGAAAACATATCTCAGAGAACGTTCGACTAGGTACCGATGTATAGGCCAAAGGTTCGTTTTGCGCCGGAGTTCTCCTTTAAAACCAGATTCTGAAAGTATATAGGGTCGTTCTTGATTTTGTGTTGACTTTAATGTGTCTTTTATGGAGGAGTTATCGTTTAAGGGTGCGGAAAAGAAATGCAGAATAAAGTTTTAGTTTCCAGTCCATCTGCTTCAGTTAGTTCTCCTACGAGAGAGAAGATAACTCACACAGACTCGAACTTCAGAAATATATCAGCCATTTAGCTATTTATCCTTGAATTCATGAACCAAGGCCAAGATGTTGTCGGACAGACAACAGATCTGCCTTTGTATGGCAGGAAAACTGTTTGTAAAGTATTTGGGAGGACAGACCAGACACCTTTTTTTGAACGATGAGGCATAGAAAGGCTAGTTTTTTTAGGTTGTGGCTAAAGATTATACATTTTCAAATGATTATTATAACTTAAAAATAAGTTATGTGTGTGACATTAAATTAACATTTAATTCTATCAGGTTAAAAATGAAAGTATATTCCGTCCAGTTTTTAGTTCATCTCTCACTACTGATTGCTTTTGACAATTTTAGGTACACCCGGGAACCTGACGATACAGAGGTTTTTTCCACCCGTTATCCCCTTCTTGATTCTTTGATAATTTCTGAAATTGTGTCTTTGGTTTATGAATTTCTTTCCCCTCCCTGTAGTAGCTGCATTGAAGATAGACCCAATGTTAACTCTCCTGTTTCTACCTCATTTCAGTTTGAGTTTGCTTCCCCCTTTGAGCTGAGATTTCATTCATTTTTTTCCACATATACACACAGTATAATTTCAACTGTAGCACTTGTATGCACACTAGATCACACCATGTACTGTATGGAGAGGTTGTGAAGGGTTTTGAGAGTCACATGTGATGTCATCACCGTCTTACTCACTGACCTCATTATTTCACCCGTCTGAGATCATATTCCAAGTTTCATAACGCACAAATGGGCCCGTTATGACAGATTCACACAAGTTGCTTGGCTTTGCATGTGAGTGTTTGTGCAAGTGTGTGTGTTCTATCACACAGGAGCCACAGGAGAACGCTAGATTTGACACTCGGTGTTCCCACTTCATCCTGCCCTCCTGTCACAGCCGAGGCCAACAGCACCAGGATGTGACCGATCCTGACATATTAAACTGGAAAGTCGGAGTCAAAAAGAAAGCTGCTATTGTACCTAGGCATGATGGGAAACCCAGAGACTGGAGACGAAGAAGACGAAGAAGAGAAAGCGAGACACCGTGTTTTAAAAAGGTGGTCACTTGATCTAAATAACCTGCCATGTGTCGGGCACATGTGGAAAGGGGCTGATCTCTGATTCGTTGACCTCCGGAGCGTGATCCAAATAAATGTCACACACCTCTGGGCAGCTGTCTCTCGGCTCAAGTCTGGACTTCATCTGAAAGTTGTTGTAGACACCAAAGCTCTGGATGTGTGGAAGGTCTGTGTGGTTTCCTTCACCTCCCAAAGAAGGGCTTCTTTTCAGCACTGGGACGTTCAGTCAAAATCTCTCCAGTCATCTGTGGGCTTTTAGTTTTAACTGGCCATTCGCCAAAAGGAGCCGGGAAACACGATCATGATGTCTGAGGAATCTTCATCTTTCGTTGTGGAGTGATATACGTGTATATAAACATACAAATCCATCATTCAGAAAGCCACGCCCATTTAGAGTTACCACACCCCTTTTCGAGAACTCTTGGTGCCGGTATTTGGTGTAGTCATTCACAGCTAACTTAATCAAACCCTGTACGCACGTCCCATGTAGGCTACATGTCCCTGGGCAAAAGACGGTCCAGCTGTTCTTGGAGCAGTTGAAAAGCCCATAGCATAAAACTCTAATAACAGGGACTTTGACATGCCTAATAAATCATTAACAGAAAGCCACTTCACCCACTCCCCATCCCACAGAAAGAAAAAAAAATGTGGTGTTGAAGATGAGAATCTTCTACGCCTTTACTCTTTTGTGTCCTCAACCAAATTGCCTTTAACTGTGTGGTCAGCAAAAAGCAAACATGATGACTCAAAGATCCCATAACTGTTCCCAAATGGACGTCTTGGCTTCCAACGTGACCTGGAGAATCAGACACAGGTGTGATTATGTGGGCATATAATCTGGTCCAATCAGAACATGTCTGATGTTTAATATAGCTTTGTGCAATGAGAGTTTGGACCAATGAGATGCCACAGTGGGCGGAGCAACTGACAACTGTTACACTTTATTTAAAGGTGACGTAGTTACATTGTAATTACTCAAATAAGTAGTGAGTAATAATAATTAACTACTTATGGTTAGGGTTTATTGTTAGGTTTAGTTATGCATAATTTACTGTTATCACCGTAAAAAAAATATTGAAAGTTTAACTTAAAAAAGTAAGTAACCTGGTTGCCTTAAAATTTTAAGTTGATTGAACTGGAAAAAGTGAGTTAATACAATGAAGGAGAGTAATTTAACCATCAGAAACTCAAAATAATAAGTTATCTCAAATAAATAAATTATTATAAAGTTGATTTGACAAAAGAAAATATGTTGTGATAACAAATCTTGAAAATATTTTTTACAGTGATCACTATAGTAAGTACATAGTAGTAATGTCATGTGTAACTACGTCACCTTAAAATAAAGTGAGACCCAAATATGTGAATGTTTTTTTATTGTTGCATAAAATAATCAATAAAGCATTTTTTTCATATTTGAACACAATGAATGTGTGATGACATCACATATAAGATGGTGGAACTCTCAAAGAATAATATTAAGTCTTAAAATATTTCATTTTTAAGTTTTAATAATCAAAACCTGTTCAAATTCATGCCTCCATAGCAGTCTTTGGCCCATGTGCATCTGAATGCGAGTAAAACGCAATGTTTTCCAGTTTAACTGCTTATTTTGACTTTCTCTCCACAGTCATTCACGTGACAAGACTAACCCGCCGCTTTCCACGCTCCACCTTCAGAAACGCTGTCCGTTTTCTGATTTCCCTTCTATTAACTTTATCCCCAGGAAAAAAAATCACAACTCTTTCCTTTTGTTTGTCTTTTTAATTTCACATTTTGACCGACAAAGTAGCCAAGGAAGTCTTTATCTTTGGCTAAAGGAAGGGCAGAGGGATGGTGTTATCAGAAATAATTTAAAATCCAGCTTTTTTCATGAAGTATTTGTTTCATGTCTGTCACGAACCTTGTCATCCTACTAAGTTTAAGGGCAAAGTGCTGTATTAGTTTCGTGATTCCTTTTAAACTACCAACTGCATCCATTGGGATTCATTATTTACATGCACCTTTCCCCCAAAATAGTTGCGGTCAAGCCTAGCTCTCAAAACGAATGCACATCCTCACTTAGTTCTTAGTCAACCATGTCTAGTGACTTTCAAAAACTTGATTTCTAATTGTGTTTATGCTCCCTTACTTCCTCTGTCTGTCCCATCCCGTGTGTTTATTTACCCAGAGACCTGTGCGGTGAACAACGGAGGTTGCGATCGCACCTGCAAGGACACGGCCACCGGGGTGCGCTGCAGTTGTCCGGTGGGCTTCACTCTTCAACCCGACGGCAAGACCTGCAAAGGTCAGTGTGGATGCGTGTTGTTTGTATATGACTTGTTTAAAGTTGCAAGGAGCATGTCCTGATTTCCTCCCTCTGTGTGCTTCTGAATGTCAGGGAACAATTTGAGATTTCCTGTATTTAGACTGCAAGGCTCGGATTAAATTGGAGACACGTTATTAGATGAATTCTTCTGCTCAAAATGGTCAGGTATCGGCGGATGTGTGGGGGTGTGTGATCCCAAGCCAAGACCAACTGGCTTCACGTCCGTTTGTCCTGTCGTGTGGAATGGGTCGGTGATGGCCGTGTTGTTGTTGCTTTGGCTGCGAAGCATTTCTCTTTCCGAAATTCCAGCTTTGACGTCAATGACCAGGGGTTTCAAAGTAAAACTGCCGCCTAGCTATCTTGGCACGGGATGATGGTGGGTTCTCTGCAAACAAACACACTCAAGAACTCGCTGACCACACTACGGTCCAGGAGACCTGCACACTTAGAGATTAATCGCTTCCTTTTCTACCTTAATTTGATGAACGAGTGGGCACCTCTGGGTCACTCTACTAGAAGGTGTCTGAAATTGGCCCTGGGATGGTGCCATACTGATGAGGCGTGGTCATGTGACCGCTTCTTCAAGAAGGAAGAGAATGTGGCACGTATGTGCCTAAAACAGCCCCATCTGCGCCGTACAGCAAGACGCCTCCACAAACCAACCACTGTTTGATTAGTGAGGATGTCATACAAAACCACACACACACATATAAACACACACGCAGAGCGCCATCCTGAGGTTTGAAGACCTCTAAAGACCTTTCTTCTTTTAAAGATGCGTTTTGGGCTGGACATATTTGGGCTTTAGTTTGCATCACAGCCCAGCCGAGAGCATGATCTGCTACTGAAAGCAAGCATTTGATTGGACAAACACCTCTATAGTGCAATACTGTTCAGTAGAAATGTTCATTTATCCAATTATGTAAAAGAAATCTGCTGTACTTGCTTGAAAGAAAATAGCTCTGCTGAAAATCTGAGCTGGTTTGCATGTTTTTAAGCTGGTTTATGATGGTGTCCCAACATAGTCAAGCTTGTCTTTACCTGACCAGCTGATAAGTGGCTGAAACCTCTTTAACCCTAAAACCGTATTCTGGACAAATGTGGGCAAAATAGTTTTAATTTATTTTTAAAAAATATTTTTCTTGATCTGAGTGGTACAAGACTTGGCTACTTTTTCTACGTTTGCCTCCTGAACACACACATTTTTTTTGACTCAATTCTACAATATTAAGTGGGTGAAAAAAACTCCTTAATCTTGTATTTGGGTCAAAAATGGGCACCCATACTGTAGAAATGAATGGGAAAAACTGAGCATTGTAAAATAAGCCAAAATAAGACACCAGGTGACAGCAAAGTCACTTCATCTTTAGGGTTTAGCTCTAAGAACTTATTGGAATGATATATTAATGTAGTTAAAAAAAAATAAAACATAAAAATAAGCATAATTGACATAGAAAATATGGTACTTTTTGAAGTAAATAAATTCAAAAATACCCCCAAAATAAAAAAAACACCATAAATGGATAGACCAAACTTTATCGAAGACAGTGATAACATTTATAATAAATAAGAGTCCTCTGTGCCCACATTTGTCCACAATTACAGGATTAAGGGCTATAAAGTGAATACAGTTTGAGGGTTGCAACCAACTGGGAGACCAGGTAAGACCAGCAAACCGTTTTAAGCTGGTTTAAACTTTTTTTCCGACCAGGAAATTTTGTCAACATTCAACAAAGTGTACTTTTTGATGAGTTTTAATGGGATGGCTTTAAAGGGGTGTTTTGGGTATCTCTGCGTTCGTACGATAAGATGGATGTTGGTCTGGTTTGGCTGTGACCCGCCCAAATAATTAGGCCCGCCTCAGGGTCTGCCTTCATAAATCCAGCTCAAGGTCTTAGATCTGCTCACTGACACACCATTTATCACGCACGCACTCATGCACTCGCACACATACTTTTGGGTCAATTATCACAGGTGTGCTGTGCCAGTGACCACTTATTACTGCCTGTTAGTGAACTCTGTAAAAATAGCTTGTAATCAAGCTCTTTAGTAAACAAGAACAAGGATGTTACATTAGACTCTAGCTGTGAGTGCTAGATCTGACACTCTAGACGTCTCTGTTCAGTTAGGGAGCAAGTGTAAGTAGGCAGTGATTATAGAGCTTCTTTTGATCATCGGTATCAACATATGAGAGGATGGTCTGACAGATCTGACTTAAAGCTGATTGGCTGGAGATATAGGAGGACACACCCCTAACAGGCTTAAAACAGCTCAGTGGTGACCATCTAATTTGATCTCACGACCAATTCGTACGAATTCGTACGATTTGTATAAACCCACGTGATGGTTAGGTTTAGGGGCGGGGTCAGGGGTAGGTCATTCGTACGAATTCATACGAATTTGCCAATTCGTAAAAAATCTGTACGATTTAGCAAAATCGTACTAATTTGTACGAGTGAGGTCGTATGAATTGTTACGAATTAGCCACATCGCAAAATCCGTACGAATTGGCTCCCTCGCAGCATTGTAGGCCAGTATTTGTACTATAAAAAAATGTTATTTAATTTCTAAAATATATTTTTAATTAAAATGTATACAATAATGAAAACTATGTCATCCTCAAGTTGTTCCAAACCTGTATGAATTTCTTTATTCTGAACACAAAAGAAGATATTATCGGCAACAAAGCCGTTTAAGGGCACTATCCCTTTAACATTGAATCTTTAACAGACAAAAATATTTTCAAGATTTGTTATCACAACATATTTTCTTTTGTCAAATAAACTTTATAATAATTTATTTAGTTGAGATAACTTATTATTTTGAGTTTCTGATGTTAAATTAATCTCCTTTATTGTATTAACTCACTTTTTCCAGTTCAATCAACTTAAAATTTTAAGGCAACCCAGGTTACTTGCTTTTTTAAGTTAAACCAACAATATTTTTTTACAGTGTAGTAATCACAACATTTTTCTTTTGTCAAATCAACTTAAATAATTTATTTAGTTCAGATAACATATAATTTTGAGTTTCTGATGATTAAATCAATCTCCTTCATTGTATTAACTCACTTTTTCCAGTTCAATGAACTTAAAATTTTAAGGCAACCAGGTTACTTACTTTTTTAAGTTAAACCATCAATATTTTTTACAGTGTATCTGATCTACTAGTCTGTGGAGGCAAGGACAGATGAAAGCACGATAATGATAGGTGTTCAGCCCTCATATGTAATTGGGATGTAAATGTTGCGCATAACAGAAAAGGCACAAGGGCCACTTATGTAATAACCCAGGCGACTCTGCGCTTATACCAACGTTAACCACAGACTAAACAAAAAGTGCATCACATGGAGATCACGCTGCTATAATAAGTGTATGTGGGTGTGTAAATGTCTACAAGTGACCTTTCCTCATTTTTTTTTTTCCACTGTCATCTTCGCTTTACTTCCCTCACACTTTCTTTCCCCTCCTCGATGAGTGGTCTCGCGGGGAGCTGCCCAATCTTGCCTCTGTAACGTAATTATTTCAATATAAACTATTTAGGACATGTTTAAATGCCTGAATTTGATAAAAGGCCCTTCATGTGCGATGACAGGCAGGGCAGCTTGGCCAGCACGCTGACAGACACTCGCTCAATCGCACGCGGGAAGATTGCAAGCGAGGGAGGATAGAGAGAGTGATTGAAATGACTGCGAACAGTTTCCAGATGTTTGATTAGAAGGTGTGTGTGTGTACGGTGTCATCGGGGGAAATGAATTATGGGAGTGAACAGTTTGTCTTGTGTGTGTGTGTATGTTTCCTCGGTCCGGCTGATGGGACCCCAGGCACGTCTCTGCTGGCCTGCATACTTTTGTGTTTGGGACTCGAATAGCTTGAAAGGAGTTTAGCTTTTGTCTTCCAGGTTACAGTTCTAGTATTAGTAGCTGATGGACTTGCAATCACCAATCTGTCTGGTTTTGACAATATCTTTTATTATATGTAATTATATAAGTACATGAACACACATATTCATAATATTTATCAAAATGGGTTCTCTTGGTTCAGATGTGGAATGAATTGCATTATTTCTACATTATTTGGAATAATGTACTGTATGCTGATTTGATTAATTAATTAAAATATAAATTTCTGAACAATCTATATATTATTATTACATTATCCTAATAATAATAATAATAATAACCAAAAATTAGGGCTGTGAAGTGATTAATCGTGATTAATTACATCCAAAATAAAAGTTTGTGTTTACATAATATAATTGTTTTGTGTGTATATATATATATATAAATACAAACACATGCATGTATATTTAAGAAAAAAAAATTATTTATATATAAAATATGAATATATATATATATAATATATATATATATATACATTATATACATGAAAATATTTCTTAAATGTATACAAGCATGTGTGTGTATTTATATATATAAAATAATTATACACAGTGCACCCACATATATTATCTAAACACAAACTTTTACTATGGATGCGATCAATCATGATTAATCATTTGACAGCCCTAATATATATATATATATATATATATATATATATATATATATATATATATATATATATATTATGTGTGTCAGTATATACTATGTGTGTGTGTGTGTATATATATATATATATATATATATATATATATATTCGTATGCAAACTAATAAATTAATAGCAATTTAGTTTATTTAGTGTAAATGAATAGGATTAGGATTTCTTTTCTTTTAGTTTTCCAGTCAAGTATAACTTAAATCTAAAAGGCATTCAGGTTTGGTTGAGGCACTTAGAAGCAAAACAATTAGATGTTTGTTAGAACAACTGTAAATTCTCCATTGTTTTTCTGAGTTTAATTTTGGATTGCTGAAAATCCATGCACATTTTTCACTATTTTCCTACGTTTTCTGTACAAGATTTTACAAAGATGCTGTTCTATATGATCTGTGATGTATTGCTTTTATTAGTCAGGCAATCTCTTCCTGTCTAAGCTGGTGATTCTCAAGTAAAAATAGATGTTTGGACCAGCGGCTGGTTGCTTAAACTGACTATTCTTACAAGTTTGTCATCTAATTTTTTTAATGTGAGTTACAGAATGGTCTGATTTGAATCTGAACGGTAAGACTGATTATACCTTACTAATTGCTAGCCGATCAGACACATCAGACTCTTTTTTTTAGCAAGCTCACCTTTCCTCACAGTCACCAAACAGCACTGTGACAAGACCAAACTGATAGGGTCATACAGCAGGCCTGTTTTCTCCATCAGTTGTCCATTTTTCTCTCTCTCCGTCAGGACACTGAGCTCTATTTGTGTTAATACACACACAGAGCCCAGTAATCCGCACAATAGCAGCCAGGCGGCATCACCTCGGATGACACCGGGCCCGACGACGGACCCCCGCGCGCTCCGAAGAGTTTTAGTGCCGGGGCCGAAACCACGCTGGTTTTTCCTGGCGGCCCTGGACAAGCAGCGCCTGTGTTATTACATGGCAAAATCCCTTTATGAACAAAGCAAATAAAACAGGCCATTTAAATCTCCAAAAAATACACTGGCGCGCTCAACGGCGCATTTCTCAGAGATTAGCTAGCCTGAGGTGAGCAGCCTGAAAACAATCTGCAAAAACGCTCCTTTTGTTGAAAACTCTGTCCTGACTTATTTGTAGAGGTTCATGTTTCCACAAATGTATTAATTTTAATTGCTTTTTTCTCTAAATATTTGGTGAGGCTACACACATCCCTGAGTACAGACCTTCGCTCCAGAGCTCATGGGGATTCCACGTTCTTCTTGCAAGCTTTCTTTCTTTCTTTCTAATCAGATCAAGTTTAGCGTAGCACTTGTTTTATAAGCACGTCTCTGGCTGCTGTGTGAGCGTTTGCTCTCCCCGTTTCCGATCGAAAATCGATGTAGATGAATCCTCTCAGCCTCTCAGTCTTCGCCCCTGCAGTTGTTTATCGTTTACAGATGTGAAAAATGTCCAATGTTTGCTTAAACTCAAAGCTTATTTAGTCCCATTAAACTTCATTATGTGGAATATCATTAGCCCCCTGCCTGCGCTAAGGAGCCACTGGAATAAAGTGCGTGTGTGTGAGAGAGTGTGTTTTTTTAGGGAAGTGTGATTGCTAAATCACTGTTAAACATTCCATTATGTCATTTGCACTATAATTTGTTTTTATTCTGTTAATGAATCCGCATGATGTTATATTAGTTATCTGAAAGCATCTTTTCAATGCAAAGATTCGGATGATATGTGCGGGTTAGGGATTGTAGAACGTCTTGACCTGAACACACATCTGACGGGTAGACAGGAAATAAACCATCAGAGATGATGGAGCACTTCCTTTAGGACACGGAGACCGACAGACCTCACGGCACAGGCTCACACTTGCTTTTATTAGACAGGATAGGTCTTCTGATTCTGGAGACGTCTGAACCATTGAACTCGACGGAGAGGTGTGATGTTTAACGCACAGATTGAGATGAGAAAAGTAGATATTATGATTTTAGATGCAAACTTCTAGAGAGCTTATTCTCTTTCTCTTTATTATCTTTTTAGGGGAAATAGAGCAGCAGAGATAAATGATTCAGACAGACTGAGATGGAAAACATTATTTATATTTTAAATCAGGAAAACTGATTTACACTTTGATTTTCACAGCTTGGAACGTGTCTGTTAGTCCTCACCCTACTTGCTGAGTTGTTAGCTTATTGTTTTACTGTGAGTACGTTCTAAACAATGCTGGGTTGTTTGAACCCAAATTTGGGTAAAATATGGACAAACGCAAATGTTGGGTTAAGATGTCATTTCAAATTTTAACCCAACTTTCACTTTCAACTGTAAATTTTTTAATTGCATTTTTAACCCAGCATTTGGGTATGTCCATATTTGACCCAAATTTGGGTTGAAACAACCCAGCATTTTTAGAGTTTAGCCTAATGGATGTACTGTATTTGTGTGTTTTGTGTTTGCTCTTCGCATATGTTTACGAATTGTGCAGAACATTGGTTAACTACTCGTTGTTTTTAATTGTGCTTTATTATAAATAAATTGCCTTGCCTTGTTAATCAAATCAATTAAATGCTGTTTAGGCGTCATCTTGCCCTATTGAAGAGTTGTTTTAACCTAACTTTGGGTCAAATATGGACAAACCCAACCATTGGGTTAATTTTTTTAAGTGCATTTTTAACCCAGCATTTGGGTTTGTCCATATTTGACCCAAATTTGGGTTGAAACAACCCAGCATTTTTACAGTTTAGCTAGATGGATGTGCTGTATAATATTGGTGTGTTTTGTGTTTGCTCTTTGTATATGTTTACGAATTGTGCAGAACATTGGTTAACTACTCGTTGTTTTTAATTGTGGTTTATTATAAATAAATTCCCTTGCCTTGTTAATCAAATCAATTAAATGCTGTTTAGGCGTCATCTTGCCTTAATTGAAAGCCCTATTGCTCATCATATACTCTAAAATTTGCTGGGTTGTTTTAACCCAACTTTAGGTCAAATATGGACAAAGCCAGCCATTGGGTTATTTTTTTTTAAATTTTTTTTACCCAACTTTTGGGTTTGTCCATATTTGACTCAAAGTTGGGTTAAAACAACCCAGCTTAGCTTTAGAATGAGATTCATTCAATATGTTTTGAACATTTTACAATTGCATTGTTTAAAGTGCTAAACTATTTCATACAGTGGGATCCAAAAGTCTCTCATTTATAATCTGACTTATTAATCTGGGGTGCGTTTCCCAAAAGCATCGTTAGTGTGTTCAGTTAGCATGTGTGTATGTGGTCTTAAGCTTAGTGGAAACTTTCTGTCCCACAGTTCAGTTAATATTAGTGCAAACCATAGTGTGTGTTTGCTACAGCTACTGAAATAACTGCAGAGGAAACCCCAAACTCCACACACACACACACAGTTTTCCTACACATTTGTTGATGGGATTAGCTTTTATTGGGTTTGTGGACGGTGTGCCAGGGTTGGCTGATATATTTAAGATGATGTTGTGGAGCTGCTTGTTTAGGAAAACTGTTTATATATCCAAAAAGCTGTTTATGAGAATAGTGGTACTGGTTTTACACCCCCGTATGAGTGTTTTCCACCATTATCATCATCATCATCATCTCTCTCTCTTCTCTGCAGACATCGATGAGTGTTTGGAGAATAATGGAGGTTGTGATCATTTCTGCCGGAACACAGTGGGCAGTTTCGAGTGCAGCTGTCAGAAAGGACACAAACTCCTGACCAACGAGCGCACCTGTCAAGGTGAGTCACTTTCCACACTACAAATTGTTGCTTTCTGGATGGAAACACAAATGAACATTTTACATCTACATGGGTACGGAGCCCCGGCAGCACAAAATAAATACCACGGTCATTAATTAAGAGTTTGTTCCCTCGTTTTACTAAATCAGGGTCATAATGTAATCATTTGTTTCCTTGTTCCCGTGTTTTAGTTAACAAGTGGTTTGTTTCACACAAAAGGATATGTTTAGGAAAATGTTCAGGCTGCACTGATACTTACATAAAATGTCAAGTACCATAAATGACTAAAAATGTATGACTGAACTGTAAATGTTTAGTGAAAATCTTCCTCTCCATTCTCAGCTGTAAACTTTTTGTCCATGCTTGCACGAATACAGCAAGCTATTGTACGGCTTAAAAGCAACTTGACTTGTTTTTGAATGAAAAAAGAGTTAAACTTTCTGGAAGACCCCATCAATTTTGGGGGATAAATATTTTAAAGCCATTTGGGCAAGATGTGGATGTAGAAGCACACACCTCTTCATCAGAAGCACCTCGTGCTCAGGCTGTTGTTTGGTTGGGATGCTGGCAAGCATTTGGCGTCGTATGAGGTGTGTGTGTTTAGTTGAGTTTACTGGAGGTGAATGGTGGCGGATTCCTACAAGCATGTCGGAGCACGAGTGGGAGTACAAACAGAAATTAAACCAAAACACCACACCACCCTATTCCTGGCTAATCAGTGTGTGGGGTGTGTATGAGTGTTTTTATTGAATGGTGTGTTGGTGAAGCGCAATGTTGTGGATGTGCCATCTTTCTGTCACGCTTGTCTCTTTGTATATTATCCCCGCTATGTTTATAGGTACATCTTTGGTTTTTAATTTTGAACTTTTCTATTCCCTTCATACCAGAAAATCCATCAAGGGAAAATAGCTGGCAGTTTTTTCTATGGGTGTGGCAGGTTAAAGGTAGAGATAACAATAATATTAAAGGTAGAAATGGCAATTTGTTTTAGAAACACTTTTGTTACATTGGAAACTCTCTTTCCACCCTGATCAATAAGGTTAAAACATCTTCTGTGGAAGTCCCAGGGCCAAAAAATGTTCGTCCAATCAACACAATGTCCTACCTGCCTGTCAAAGTATGTATTTCCATACATTGATGGGTTTGTGTGTGTAAATGTGTGTTTTGGTCCTCTGCAGATATTGACGAGTGTTCCTTTGAGAGGACATGTGACCACATCTGCATCAACTACCCGGGAAGCTTTGAGTGTGTGTGTCACAAAGGTTACAGTCTCTATGGCCTCACACACTGTGGCGGTGAGTTCACAATCTCACTACCAGCCAATGGTTTTACAAAAACAAAAAATCACAATTTGATGGACAAACTGACATCTGTGCGTAACAGATATTGACGAGTGCAGCATTAATAACGGGAGCTGTGAACATGGCTGCGTGAACACACCGGGCAGTTACGAGTGTGTGTGTCCTCCTGGACAAAAGCTCCACTGGAACAAGAAAGACTGTGTTGGTAAGTCCTCGTTTCATTCCCCGTCCCTAAATATCCCATAATGTTTGTCGTTTCCATGGTCACTGTACCTCGTTTGTCCCTCAGAGGCGGTAAAATGCCTCCCGAACGGGAAGCCGGCACCTCGTGCTCAGCTCATCTGCACTAAGACCGGTGGAGGAGAGACGTGTTCACTGTCCTGTCCATCAAACGCCCTTTTCCTGGCTGGTTAGTTACCTTACTTTTTGGGATTTCTCTGGAAGTCAGTTGAACAGAATGTTGTTTGGATACATTCGTTATAAATTGTAAATCTGTTCACTTTCTTATATACATTTGAAAAGAATATATTTATTTAAATCAAGTAGAAGCAGCGCGATATGGTTATTGGCTCAAACAGTCTTTGCCCTCTGCTGCCCTCTAGTGGTTCAAACCTTACATCACAAAATTTGCATGCTCGGTTCAATCAAATCAATAAGTCATATTAATACTGCTATTAATGACGTTGAACATGCTAGCATTGTCATATCTGTTAGATAACCAAACAAACAAAAAAAAGGGCAAGATACGTTCAATTGGCCTGACCAGAGGAATCATGTGAATGTGATATTTGACATTCTGTGGGAAAGTGACTGGAAAAGAATGTTGCAATGATATTTCATAAGGACATCTATCATCTCCGCGGACTACTTTGGTAAAGGTATTAAGGTGTTAGACGCCCAAAACTTGTCTCTGACAAATTTTATGCAAGGGCCATCGGTTAAGAGGAATGTGCGTAAACATATTAATATCCAGAAGTAACTTTCACACAAGTCCTGATTCACTAAACTTTGGTCCAACACAAGGGCTACATTCTCACTCACTACGGTCTAAAAAACATATATACAGGTGAGTTTGCACTGTATTAAAAAAATATTTTCAGAGAACATTTATTAAATACATTTTTTTTCTCGCTTGTTTGAAGGTTTGACGTTTTTCGCTTAAAACGAGAAACAATTTTTTTAAAGGTTGTAGACTTTTTTATAGAAAACTTGTACTACAGAAAGTAGTGTGCATTATATATATATTAAATATAGTGAATTTTGTCAACAATTTGGCAATGCAGTGTTAATAAAGCTAATATGCACAATAAAGTCTAGTATGCACTACAATAATAAGTATGCACAAATCAGAAATGTGACCTTGTATATACTAGAATAAATCAAGTGAATAAAATCTAAATGTCATCTGTAAGTTAGATCAATGCGAATCTGAGTATATGAGTATGTGTGTGTGTGTGTCTTTATGACTCTTGGATTCTCTGTACGTGTGTGTTAATGGTCTCCCTGGGTTCGAGCACTAAGCCTGTATAAAACCTCTTTTAATCCTGTTCACCCGCGCTCTGTAGCCGCTCGCCAACAGAAATACTCAGCCTGCCATTGGACGATTTGTGGCAAGGCCGAAGTCAGGCCAATGACTCTCTAGACAACTTCACAGTACTCTGTCATGATGACAGCCAACCCTCTCCACTCACACACACACACAGTATACCATACACACACACTACGAGACAATACTCAGGTGCATGCAGCACCTGGAACATCTGTTTAAAAGCTTTCTCTCTCTGTGTGTGTGTGTGTGATTTAGACTCCGAGAACAGTTACACTCTGAGCTGCGGGGTGCCTGTCCAGCCAGGTAAAGCTCCACTGAAGAAGAACGTCACTACATCCAGCAGTAGCTCCCTGCAAACCTGCACAGGTACTGTGTCTTTTCTCTGAATTACTGAATTGTGGTTTATCTGCACGGAAACTCTCACAAACGTGTGTACTACAGTCAAGTATGCACTACAAACAGTAGTCTATAATATTAAAACAGCTAACATGCATTGTAAAATATAGTATATGCTATAAAAAAACAACAAGTATTCACTACAAAATCTAGTAAATAAATCTCCTCTCAATCTTCGGTAGATCGAACACTTGCCATGTCCTATCCAGTATCTCTTCTTTCCTTTTTATTCTCTATTTTTTTTCCTTTCTTTTTCCATTTTTATTTCTTGTTTCTTTCCCATTCTTTCCTATTTCTCTTCACCTGAAGGGACACAGTGAAGGAAAAAAAATGAGATGGGAGGGAAAATTATGCCAGTGACTTTGTGTCCTCTCGCAAAAGAAACTTTGTGTTCACTTACAAAATGTTTTGTGTTCACCTGAGAAAGTTTGCATTTTAATGCTTTTTGTGTTCGCTTGCAAAACTTTTATGTGTTTTTTTTTTTTTTTGGTTTTTTTGTGTGTTTTTTTTGCGAGCGAACACAAAAAGCATTGAAATATCCACCATGTCCCTTAATTGGCTCTGTACTCCCCTTTCCTCTTCTTCTACTTCGTGTTTGTTTTATTTCTTTTTTATTCCTTTTACTTTATGTTTTTTCCTTCCTTTCCAGATTTTCTGTTTCCTTTCTCTTTCTTCCTTTCCTTGTTTCCTGTTTCTACTTTTTGTTTTCTCCTTTGTCCTTTGCTTGTCCTGGTCTGTGTACCTTCTGGTAATTACATTTTCTACTTAAGAGTAATAAAGGGCAATAAAAACAGTTTAATTTGAGATTTTTAGTTTTATGTTGGGTCATCCAAAAATTAAAATTCTGTCAGTATTTACTCACCCTCCTGTTGTGCCAACCCTGTAAGACTTTCGTTCATCTTCAGAACACAAATTAAGGTATTTTTGATTAAATCTGAGAGCTGTCTCACTCCTCCAAAGGCTTCTATTGTAATTGAAACCTGCTGGCCCAGAAAGTTAGTAAAAACATTGTTAAAATAGTCACATACAGTGGCTCAGCTTAAAGGAGTAGTTCACTTTTGAAAAAACTTTTGCCTATAATTTACTCACCCCCATGTCCTCCAAGATATCCATGTCTTTCTTTCTTCAGTCGAAAAGAAATGAAGGTTTTTGATGAAAACATTCTAGGATTTTTCTCCATATAATGGACTTCAATGGGAACCAAACTCGTTTATCAAAATGAACAAATCTTTTTTCGTGTCACAAACGAAATTACCGAATTGACTCGGGAAAGATTCGTTCATTTTGACGAACGAGTTCGAACAGGAGAGTCACGAACGCGCATCACAGAACAGAGCAAGGCGACCATTTGAGCTTATAAAACTTAAACTTTGTTTTTTATTTATTAAATGAGCGACCGTTTCGCTTGATAAGACTCTTATTCATCGTCTGGAATCGTTTAAAGCCCTTTGAACAGTTTGCACTGAAACTGTCTTTTGGACCTTGAACCGTTTGGCTCCCATTGAAGTCCATTATATGGAGAAAAATCCTGGAATGTTTTCATCAAAAACCTTAATTTCTTTTCAACTGAAGAAAGAAAGACATGGACATCTTGGATGACATGGGGGTGAGTAAATTATCAGCAAATGTTTTTTTTAAAAGTGAACTACTCCTTTAAGTAGAAAATCTAATTACCAGAACGCACACTGACTTTTCCTTTCCTTTCCTTTGCGCTCCTTTCCTTTCCCTACATCTCGTTTCGGTTGGCTCAGAGCAAGGACGCCTCTGTGTTTTTTTGGCCCGATCAGCAGAGATCAGACAGGACAGCTGTAAACGAGCGTGACGTGTTCCAGTCCATTACATCGCATGACAGACTCTGGATCACTGCAAGGGCGCAGATACAGAGATCTGTGAGGACAATTAGGACAGGTCCCATCATTCAACCCTGCCGAGGTCGCAGACACGCTACCGTTATCCCCAGTGCTCTCTCTTTCCCGGCTCTCAGAATTCGACATTCCCCATGTGGTTCGTCGTGTGGATTTTGGACAGCTATGCAAGACTCAGACAGACAGACAGACGGCTTCGAAATTCTCTCGCATACACAAGCGCCGCTTCTTGTTTTGGACGGCGTACATAGGAATGCTGTGAACCTGAGTAAATGACTCTGTGCTGGCTGCACATCTATGCTGACAGATTTGAAATACACAGACGGGCTTCTACCACAGGGGCTCCACGAGCAAACAGACAGTTCGCTTGATTCACACATTCACTGTTCGGTGATAGTTTCACTACCAAACCTCCCGCTGTCGGCTCCAAAACCGCCACACGCTCGATATGCTTTTAGAAGACCAGCTGAAGTCCTCGACCGCAGTGTGTTCTCGTTTCAACTCCTGACCCTTCGTCTCCCTTCATTCCCTCGCTGACTTTGGGCTTCTTGTGTTAAACTAGACTCTCATATTTTTAATGCGTTGGAATGGGCCGCTCAGCCCGCAGGACAGATTTAGTGTGCTTGACTGTTGGATTTCAAAAAGGCCTCATATTTTGGTGTTTTCCATGATTATTATCCAAACCCTGCGAGTGAAAGTGAGACTTTGCCGATTTCCCGTCCATCAGAGATGCTGGCCCAGCCCGTGAAGCAGAAAGCACGGTTTAAGATCAAAGACGCCAAGTGCCACCTGAGACCCCGCAACAAGGAGAAACACCGGGACACGGGGAAGCAGAGCCTGCAGGGTGAGGAACACACCAAACACACCTTCACAAATAGCTCTTCATTCAAGGATTCTCATCTCCTTTCCTTGCTGGTTTCCTCTTTCCTTTACACTTCTCCCTTTCTTTTCTTTCTTTTTTCCTGCTTCCTGTTTTTTTCTTCTTCTGTTTCTAATGTCTTTCACTTTTTTTCTACTTGTCTTCTTTTTTCTTTTCCCTTGATTTATTTCTTTTTTTTCCTCTTCTTGTTTCCTTTTATTCTTTTATTTTGCTGTTCTTGTTTCATTCACATTTTCCTTTCCTTTTGTACATTTTTGTTTTCAAATTTCTTCTTTTCTCTTCTCATTTTTGAATTTTTTTTACTTTTCTTTCCTTATTTCCTTTTTTTTCTTTGTCCTGTTTCTTCCTCTACCTTTTACTTCTCATTTCCATTTTTCTTCTACCTTTCTCTTTTCTTTTTTTTCTTTTTCTTTTCTCATGTTTTTTATTTCCCATTTCCCTTTTTAATCTTCTGATTTTAAAATATTTTTTCCCTATTTCCTTTTCCTTCTCCCTATCATTTTGTCTTCTTTTATTTTGTTCCCTTTTCTTCTTTTCTTTTCCTGTTCCTGTTTCATTTACATTTTCCTTTCTTTTCAAAATTTCTTCTTTTCTCTTCTCATTTTTGAAATATTTTTTTTCTTTTTGTTTACGGCTCCTTTTTTCTTTTCCTTCTTTCCTTTTTTCCTTTGTCCTGTTTCTTCATCTACCTTTTACTTCTCATTTCCATTTTTCTCTTTTCCTCTGTTTCTCTTTTTCTTTTCTCATGTTTTTTATTTCCCATTTCCCTTTACTCTTTTCTGTTTTTTATAATATTTTTTTTCCTATTTCCTTTTCCTTCTCCCTACCATTTTGTCTTCTTTTCTTTTACTTTTTCTCATTTTTGACCTTTTCCCATTTCTCTTTTCTTTTTCTTCCTCATTTCCATTTTCTCTTTTCTTTTCTTTCTTTTTTCCTGTTCCTTTTCATTTCCTGCATCCTGTTTTTTTTCTTCTTCTGTTTCTAATGTCTTTCACATTTTCTTCTACTTGTCTTCTTTTTTCTTTTCGCTTTTCATAACTTGATGTATTTCCTTTTTCTCTTCTTGTTTCCTTTTCTTCTTTTATTTTGCTCTTCCTGTTTCATTTACATTTCCCTTTCTCTTCTTCTTTTGCATACTTTTGTTTTCAAATTTCTTCTTTTCTCTTCTCATTTTGAAATATTTTTTACTTTTCTTTCCTTCTTTCCTTTTTTTCCTTTGTCCTGTTTCATCCTCTACCTTTTACTTCTCATTTAAATTTTTCTTCTACCTTTCTCCTTTCCTTGTTTCTCTTTTCCTCATGTTTTTTATTTACCATTTCCCTTTAATCTTGTTTTTCCTATTTCCTTTTCCTTCTCCCTACCATTTTGTCTTCTTTTCTTTTGTTTACTTCCCATTTACTTCCCATTTTCTCTTTTCTTTTCACCTGTTTTTCTGCTCTCCTCTTTCTTTCTCCTTTTCCTAATCCTCTCTTTCTTATTTCCCGTTTCATTTACTATTCTCCTTTTCCTTATTCCCATTCCTGTCCTTTCAGCAGCCGGTCAGTTACCTTGCACAGACGACTGTCAGGTGACGTTCGTGAATCTGAAGTGCGACTCTTCCAAAAAGCGGCGTCGTGGCCGGAAGTCTCCATCAAAGGAAGTCTCCCACATCACAGCAGAGTTTGAGATGGAAATGAAAGAAGAGGAAGCCTCAGGTAACATTGCCTGCATGTGTGTACAGCAGTTCTCTCTTGTTGACTGTCGCGTTCCCACGTCATGCCATCTGTGACTTCAGAGTGTAAATGTGATGTCTTTATGTGTCAGAATCATGTAATGTGGACTGTGTGCGTGAGAAGACCAAGCAGAGGCTTCAGAATGCCATGCGCACACTAAGGAAGTCCATCAGTAAACAGCAGTTCTACATCCAGTTCTCCGGCACGGCGTACGAGGTGGCCCAGCGTGCCGTGCGACAGACAGAAGGAGATGAGACCTGCAGTATAGGACAGGTCCTCACTGACGGGAAGTGCGGTGAGTATTTTGGGATAAGGGTTTTGTTTTCTGATCTGGGGTGGAAGACACTTTCATGAATCTTGTATCTGTGTGTTTGGGTGCGTTTCTGTGTGTTCGGGTGTCTCCCAGTCAGCTGCGGTGTGGGAACGTTCTACAGCGGAGAACAGGAACAGTGCGTCATCTGTCCGCCAGGAACCTATCAGGACAGGGAGGGCCAGCTGTCCTGCGAGCCCTGCCCCAGCACCGAGGGACAGGGCATCACAGGGGCCAAGAACGTCTCTGAGTGCGGAGGTGTGTGTGTGGATACGCTCAATCAATGAATAGCTTTGTGATGGTAATGACACATCTATTGATTATTGGAGCTGATTAATGCAAGACCACGTTTTTGCAAATTAATCAATAGATTTTGAAATTCAGGGTCAAAAAAATCCCAAAATTTCTCATTATCATGCAAATGCAAGATTTCTAATGAAGGACTTAGCAAAGTCTGGATCAATTGGTAGCAGCTCATTTGAACTATTTGAGCAGCTAAAAGGTATTTGACTGACGGCATACAAACACACCTCATTACTGAAACCTTTATTAGGTGATTATTAGGTAATAAATTCATGGTAAAATGTCAAGCCGAAATGTTTACAGATATTTGTGTTGTGGTGTCATAATGCTGGATCAATTGACTTTATTGAATTTTTTTTAAAGTGAACTACTCCTTTAACTCATCTTGAATGGTACACTGTAAAAAAAATATTGATGGTTTAACTTAAAAAAGTAAGTAACCTGGTTGCCTTAAAATTTCAAGTTCATTGAACTGGAAAAAGTGAGTTAATACAATGAAGGAGATTGATTTAACCATCAGAAACTCAAAATGATATGTTATCTGAACTAAATAAATTATTTAAGTTGATTTGACAAAAGAACAAATGTTGTGATTACTACACTGTAAAAAAATATTGTTGGTTTAACTTAAAAAAGTAAGTAACCTGGGTTGCCTTAAAATTTTAAGTTGATTGAACTGGAAAAAGTGAGTTAACACAATGAAGGAGATTAATTTAACCATCAGAAACTCAAAATAATAAGTTATCTCAACTAAACAAATTATTATAAAGTTGATTTGACAAAAGAAAATATGTTGTGATAACAAATCTTGAAAATATTTTTTTACAGTGAGAGGATATAATCTAAAATAATCTTGTTTTATTTGTTAAACGCTCAAAATACTCAAAACGCCATTCTCTGGTTGTAGGCCAGTGCCCTGCCGGTCAGTTCTCTGCTGATGGTTTCCGCCCGTGCCAGCCGTGCCCGCTGGGCACCTTCCAGCCCGAGCCGGGCCGTGTGCTCTGCTTCCCCTGCGGAGGAGGTCTCTTGACTAAACACACGGCCAGCACGTCCTTTAGAGACTGTGAAGCCAAAGGTATGATGCAACACTGCAAAATAGGCACATTTCTCATGCATGTCCATATTTACTTGGTATTTTCTCTTCCCCATATTTCTAGTTCACTGTGCTCTTGGGCATCATTACAATGCCAGCACGCACCGGTGCATCCGTTGTCCGGCTGGAACTTACCAGTCTGAGTCTGGACAGAACTACTGCATCACCTGCCCTGGAAACACCACTACAGATTTTGACGGAGCTAACAATGTATCTCACTGCAAAAGTAAGGCAGATATATGCAAATCCATTCACAGATCCCATGATAAGCTGTGAATTCACGGCTCTGTCTGTTCTCATCCCTCGCAGATCAGCTATGTGGTGGTGAACTGGGAGATTTCATGGGCTACATCGAATCTCCCAACTATCCCGGTGACTATCCATCTAACGTGGACTGTGTTTGGACCATTAACCCTCCGAACAAGAGGCGCATCCTTATTGTTGTACCAGAGATCTTCCTGCCCATCGAGGATGAGTGCGGGGATGTTCTTGTCATGAGGAAGAGTGGTATGGTATACCTGTCATTTTGGATGCTAGTTAGTTATTGCAAGCAGGAATGCAAATTATTGAGCTCCTCTTCTCTCCTTTTAGCCCTGCCCACTTCCATTACAACTTATGAGACATGCCAAACTTATGAGCGACCGATCGCCTTCACCTCCCGTTCACGCAAGCTGTGGATCCAGTTCAAATCTAATGAGGGTAACAGTGGAAAGGGATTTCAGGTTCCATATGTCACTTATGATGGTAAGTTACAGATACAGTGCAAACATGTAGCCACACACATTCACACACTATATTCGATGGAGCCCGTGAAATCTCATTATTTTCGGACCATTCTCTGTAAACCCATAGAGATCTTAGTAGATCAGCAGTTTCTGAAGTAACAACAACCCTGCCACGTTCAGAGGCCTTTATTCAGATTGAACTTCAGCAGATCGTCTTGACCATGTGTGCCTAAATGCATTGAGCTGCCCTGTGATTGGCTGATTCGATATTTACGTTAACAAGAAGTTGAACAAGTTTACCTCAATAAAGTGGCCAGGCATTTAGACAGCAACTACACAAATGAGATACTTTAAACATTCTATAAATTGTAAAAAGTTATTCGTGTGCAAACGATTAATCGCGATTAATCGCATCCAGAATAAAAGTTTATGTTTACATAATATATGTGGGTGCACTGTGTATAATTATTTTATATTTATAAATACACACACGCGCGTGTATATATTTAAGAAATATTTTCATGTATATACTGTATATAGATTTATATATAATTTATATTATATATAAATATAAATATTTTATATATAAATAATATTTTTTTCTTAAATATACATGCATGTGTGTGTTTTTATATATACAAAATAATTATACACAGTGCACCCACATATATTATGTAAAGATAAACTTTTATTCTGGATGCGAGTAATCGCGATTAATCGTTTGACAGCCCTAGTGTACATAAATAATATACTACATTTATTAATATCAGTTTGTGTTTTTGTCATTATAGAAGACTACCAGCAACTCATAGAGGATATTGTTCGAGACGGTCGACTTTACGCCTCAGAAAACCACCAAGAGATATTAAAAGTGAGCATTTATTTTCACTACAGTAAGTAGCGGTCGTCAGACATAACTTTAATAACCCGTTTCTCTGTTTTTTCAGGATAAGAAGCTGATTAAAGCTCTGTTTGATGTGCTGGCCCACCCTCATAACTACTTTAAATACACCGTGCAGGAATCAAAGGAGATGTTTCCACGTTCCTTTATCAAGCTGCTACGCTCCAAAGTCTCCAGGTTTCTACGGCCGTATAAATAGAAACCCGAACATTTCTTCCACGACCCCGACTCTATCCCCATCTCTCTTCCTGTCTTTTCTCCACTATCTCCCAGAAGGCCTAACTACTGCAAGAAGATAAAGACGTTTGGCCTTCTTCCCGTCTGAGATTTGTCCATTTGTCCCTTTTTGTCTTTGTATGTTTGTTTTTTATTTGCTAATATTTATGTGCTTGATTTTGCAAAAGCCCTCTTTGGATGTTTGATATCTACAGTATATATTTGTAAGTGTGTGTGTGTGTGTGTGTGTGTGTGTGTGTGTGTGTGTGTGCGCTTGTCTGTGTGTACAAAAATGATGTGGAAGCTTATAAGGACACATACAGACACACAGATATATATATATATTCTTGTTTGGAAAAGGTTATTTTCATGCCCCTGATGTGCACAAGGGGTTTTAATATCCTAGTGCACTTAAAGTAAGTGGTTACTTAATGAGAAAGGATTCACTTTACGGTTCTGACCACAAAAAAATTCAAGATAAAGATAAAAAAAAAACAGGATAAAAGACAAAAACTACCTGTCAGTATGAGAGTTAGAGTTACGTGTACGTTGTTTAACTAGTATTTGGAGCTTCAACTGCACTTGAATTTTATATTGTAGAGAATAAGGAAATATAAGTTGCTTTTTTTGTTGTTGTTTTTGTTGTATAGAGATGTTTTACCTTGGTTGTAGAAACAAGAAATGTCCGTACTGCCCCTCTACAGGGATACAGAAAGATATTCTCACCTCTCCCTCTCCTGAAAACTAAACACACTTCATAATAATCTCAGTTTAATATCAGAAAAGTATTAATGTTGAAGTGCCATTGTACCTCTTTGTCAGCTTGACCAGTATAAGATTACATGATGCAACAAGTTTGTCATTAACCTGCAATTTAGATTTTGAGAAATTGTAAATATGGTTCCTTGAGCTTGTTGTGTCATAAAACTCATGGAAATGGTGAAGAGTTTATTCAGAACAACAAAGAACTTGGATTTAGAGACTTATTATGGTGTATTACATAATTATATCATATCTATTGCATTTCACCTTTGTGCTGTGCACAAAGACACATATTTTGCTCTTGTTGAACTGTGGATGAAGATTAGAGGCTGTTTGTTGATACCTGAAGTATGTGAAAAATAGCCATCACAATTAAATCAAATCACACAACCACATAAATCTAGATGAGCCATAACGTAACTGACATACAGATAATATTACCTGTCATTTTACAGTGTTCTGCGTTGTTTTACATATATTCCTATTTGGGAGGGAGGGGCGGAGTGATCGTTCTAAAGCTGCTTTGTTATATGAGCACTTATTAATGCTTGTATTTGTAATATCCACATATGGACAGGGAAACACATCCGCTCATAAATAATCATACATTCATGCATGCACACCCAAAAATATGCTAGTACAGTAATTTATGATTTGTGAGAAAACCGCAGGTTGTAGTTGATCATGTGTGTGTGTGTGTGTGTGTCAATCACATATTGTTGTCTCATTTGATTACTAAACAACGGCATGTGACTGTTTGGGGAACAGTTGCCATTAGCAAAGATGAAGAAAGTGTCACTGCTAAACTAACTAATACAATACACACACAAACACACACCTCGATGGCTTCACACACAGATTTAAGTACTTTTCCCCTCAGATGGAGAGAGTGACTCAGACTGCTGCTGGTGTGATTTGTTAGCTTTATGAATACAGATTTGTAAATGATGTACATATGTTAGTGTTTTTTTGTTTTTGTTTTGTTTTTTTTAAAGTTAATATTTACAGTAGAAGGAGAGACAATGTGCTGGGGAAGGTCACAGTCACAGTCTGACATTTTCAGGACTGTTTTGGAAGGCTCTGTTAAATTAAATGCTTTCCACCATGGTGAATGACCACATTTCAGAAGAATGAACAATTCAGCAGTGTGAAGTCAACCCCAGAAGGTGTAGAAGAGAATGGGAACTATTGTTAAGACCTCACTTTATTAATAAATCATTCAAATCTCACGCTGTTTGTTGTGGTGTTACGTTTCGTTTGAAACAATTGTTGCTTATTCTCATTATTTATGAAACCTATTAGATAAATCGTTTTTTTAAAGAGGAAAAATTAGCAAAGTTATAAAAAAGCACCCTTATGTCACCTAACGTCATTTTGAATGATTTGTCGTCCTCTTGTGGTCATATAGGCCTATCATCAAAAATCATGCCGTTTCTCCCCACAAAGGGGCAGTATGGACCAAGATTTTAGCTTTTCAAAATATTTGAACTAATTTAAAAACTAAAAAGGGTGTTATTCATGTTTCAGAATTAAATGTTTAACTACAACTAGCTGGTCTAGACTGATATACGTTTACAGATCAAGGTCAGACAAAAATACAACCTTTGATAAGACAGCACAGACAGATATAGATGGCACTGGTATGTGTTAACAAACTGGTCTGTTTGCAAAAGTAAAAGGTTGGCTTATGTTATGTTTGTTATTATTAATGAAGTTACATGACCGAAGCTCTAAGGCCAGTCTTCGCCAAGAGGAGGGGAAAAAGAGCCAGAGCAGCTCTAGGGGGAGTGTCTCTGAGAGCGACACAAACGCACACACACACACACACACACACACGCACGCAAACCGGGGCACCACGCGACTCCAGTTCAAACAAACCAGCGCGAGCCTCTGCAAACAGTAGCCGCTGCGTTTTCCCTCTCCTGCCGGTTGTGTATTAGTCTTTACCTGCACATCTCCGAAAACACATTTGGGTTAGACTCTTGAGTTTGAAAAGGTAAGTATATCTCTGGTATGTAAATGAGCACCGCATATATTTTGAATATGCATGAATTAATATGTATAAGAGAGTGCGCTGTTATAAATGATGCTCGTCTGTTTGGAAAGAAGAGACAGTTACCATAGATACAGTCAATTCTTGAATACTTGCTAAACATGAGTGATTGATTGTTATTATATTATGTGTTGGTTTTATTCCGTGTTATTTAAACCATGGCTTATCATGTTTATCTGGCATAGGACACCTGAAATGAAAATCTAGCCCATCAAACTGGTAGTTCGTTTTGGCTCTTTTTGTGAACCACTGTTACAGTAACAGTAAAAGTGGCAACAAGTATGTGGGTATTCATTTTTGGACATGATAATGTTTTTATGACCATGTAGCATGATAAATACCATGATATTCTTTGAAATACTACAGCTCATCAATATGGAAATCATTCAGTTCCATGATATATATCTAAGTGCCAACGTGAGTCCATCACTTTACTATATGTTACAATCACATTACATGTTTTTATTTTTACAAGAGTAATATATTTTTGTTTAGTTCTGTTTTTTTTTTTCTCCGACCATCTACTGGACTATTATTCAAAGCTTTTGTCCCACATAGTTTTACTAGTGTGCTTAGTCATCCATCTTTTATGAATTGTTATCATTATTCTTTTCACACACATTTTTTTTTTCTGGTTGTGCATTGTTTGAGCACTTATGTATTTCTCAGGTAATGGAGTAGAAAGCTTTCAGCTTTTCCCCTACTTGTTATTTCAGGTCAAAAACAACATTTTAGCTCCCCTTTCTTTCACAGGGCTTTGTGTCCTCTTTCCTCCCAAACAATTGTCTCTCTTGCAACGCATCTTTTTTCCCTCCCGTCTTGAAAGTGCAGGGAACTCTATTGTTAGATATAGAAATCGTGACAGAATGGTTACCATGGCTTTGTGTAAGATCTCGGCGCTAACACACAGTAGAGTGGGACATACCGCCGCCAACCGGGTGTCTGATTGTGGGTTTTGATAATATGCCTCTGTCACCACTCACATCTCCCTTTATCTTGTATCTCGTACCTTTTTGTCCCTCAGGTGTATTGTTATTGAGGAGAAGCATGCAGGCTCTCTATCCCAGCATACGGTGGGCCAACCACTGAATACGGTCCTGGACATCCCAAAGACTTGCACAAGACAATCTGATCCTAGCTAAAGTGGAATCCTATTAAACACCAAACACCACCGGACAAGCACGTGCCTGTAAGAGGGGAAGATATAGTGTGTGTGTGTTGCCATGGCTTTCACACTTTCGGAAATCATGGCAGCCCGACGACAGCAGCAACAGTCTCAGAGAGGAGGAAGAGGAGTGGTAGAGGTGGACGAATACAGCTCCAACCCAACTCAAGCCTTCACCTTCTACAACATCAACCAGGGTCGCTTCCAGCCGCCCCACGTCCACATGTAAGGAACTCGCATATGCACGTTTAGTATATGGTGGACTAGTTTGTTTTTAAATAAGCAGCACTTTAATTTGCACGCTGACAGCATGACTTGCTTTAACTGATGGACATGTTTGGGTGTTAAGTCAAAATTCATGCTGTTTTTAAGCAGCTTACGCCATGAGCGTTGTGTTTTTAAGATACCAAATGTTTCCTATGAAGTTGGGTTCATGTGAATTTCGAGAATATGAATTATTAAGGGATTCCTGAAAAGTAGGGCTGTCAAACAATTAATCGTGAAATAAAAGTTTGTGTTTACAAAATATATGGGTGCACTGTGTATAATTATTTTATGTATATAAACACACTCACATGCTTGTATACATTTAAGAAATATTTTCATAGATTTCTATATCTTTTATATTATGTATAAATATAAATATTTTATATATAAATAATATTTTTTTCTTAAATATACATGCATCTGTGTGTATATATATATATATATATATATATATATCCAAAATAATTATACACAGTGCACCCACATATATTATGTAAACACAAACTTTTATTCTGCGATTAATCACGATTAATCGTTTGACAGCCCTACTGAAAATAGACTAGTTTGTCTAATTGTTCAACTAGTTGCCTTTGAAAATATGGGATTTTGCACATGCTTTTATCCATGAGGTTGTTTTTTTTTTTTTTTTTCAGATGGGCCATATTTTTTTTTCTTGCCATTTTATAAAGGAAAACAGGTCACAGCTATTATTCGCAAATATTTAGGAATATCTGTGAGCGTGTGTGTTGTTGGTAGAGTCTGTGTGGTCGACCCAGTAGGAGATGCTCTAAAGTGGGCCATTCTTATTCAAAACTCTGCCGTGTCCCTCAGAGACCCGTTTCTGCCAACGCAACTGTTTAAGCCGCGAGAGAACGATATATAACCTTATGTATTCCCACTCCTCTCTCTCTCTCTCTCTCCACAGGGTAGATCCGTTACCCCATGACTCCCCCAAGCCCCCGGGCTACACGCGGTTTGTCTGCATCTCCGACACACACTCGCGCACTGACACTATTCAGATGCCGTACGGTGACGTCTTACTGCACACTGGAGACTTCACAGAGCTCGGCCTGCCCAGCGAAGTCAAGAAGTTTAACGACTGGCTCGGTGAGAGGTTTTTTTGTTTGTTCTCGACTCTTCCTTAAATCACTTTTGCCAGCTGTCTAATTCAAAATTGGAGAATTAATTTTTTGCAATACTTTTTATGGATCACTGCATCATTTGACTAATTCTGCATATCTTTAAGCCATTTTCTACACTGATTCTGTGGATTTAAGTGATAAAATATGTTAAGCAGAGCTAAGAGAACTGCAGTCTTACAAAAAATTAAATACAGAACATGCAAGATATGTGGGATGTGTGAATGATGCATGTTCAAATTCTACTGAAGCCTAGATCTTTTGAAAAAGGGGTTCATATACTAGAAAACATGAATGAAAACATACTCTACCAGTCCAAATAGACTTATTGGAAAACAGTTAATTCTAAACTTTTACAGATTTCTGATGTCATCTATATGTTGTTACATGTCATCTGTAATATTTATAAAGCTTCATAAACTGTATGACCTGCTCTGTTCACACCATGTAATAAAGCAGAATTAAAATTGAGAAAAGGGATGCATTGGGCATTGAACATTAAAATATTTAATTTATCACCATTCTAGCATTTTTATTTATTAAAATTTTCAATTTTATGTAAAATTTTATAAATTAAATGTTATATAATTTTTAGAGCTGTCAAACAATTAATCGCGATTAATCACATCCAAAATAAAAGTTTGTGTTTACATAATGTATGGGTGCACTGTGTATATATATATATATATATATATATATATACACACACACATGCTTGTATATATTTAAGAAATATTTTCATACTGTATATAGATTCAAATATAATTTATAAATATTTTATATATAAATAATATTTTTTTCTTAAATATGCATGCGTGTGTATTTTTATATATTCAAAATAATTATACACAGTGCACCCACATATATTATATAAACAAACTTTTATTTTGGATGCGATTAATCGTTTGACAGCCCTAATAATTTTATACAGATTATTATAATTTTATTGTTAATATCACTATAGGAAATAAAGCACAGAGATCTTATGAGAAATCTTTTTAAAGTCAAGCTTTGATAAAATAATTTCAGAATATTGTAGTGAGTTTGAATGTAAATTCAAGTCCGTTCATCACAAGCAGAATATCTTGAGGTCATGTGTTGCATGTTTTTGTATTCATAACTTATTGTACGCATGTCCAAAAACTGTGAGACAGGCTCAGTAATAAATCGAATAAGAAAGATGACTGGCGTTTGAGGTGAGGGAATAGAAAGCAGCATAGATCTGGATAGATGGATGGATGGAGGTTAGTCAGCGGGGTGCAGAAGACACCAGTCAGATTAAGACTTTCGCTCGTGCGTCTCATCCTCTTTCCCGCTATTGATTCTCTGCTGTCCTGCCTCTCTCATTCTTTCTGGCACACCGTCCCTGTGCCAAAAAGGAAGTTCGCGTGTTTGTTCTCGCGTTTGTCTCTGTATAAATATTTATAACGTGATTCTTTTTCTCATCTCTGAGTCTTTGCTCCTGTGTATCTGAGAGAACTCGCTGCGCACATGCTTCCTTTATCCAGCAACAATCCTCAGAGATATGATTTACTTTTTACCTCACAATACTTTATAGTCTGTGCCAACACACACACACACACACACACACTATCACATGGACTTCCTCATATGGGGATGCTCTTAACTCTAACCTACTGTAGTCTCAAGCCCTCCTTGTCAGTTTTATGTTTCTCTTTCGCTTCGACACTGATTTTGAGACTGCTTGAACATGTCAGCATTAATATTTTTGTCAGTTGGGGTTCTTCAATAATGGAGCATCACCTTAGACCTTAAAGTAGGTGTGGTAAATGGCAATACAGAGCACTCACAAACAACAGACAAACAACACTCGAAGCATGTATAGAAACCTACAACAGAGGTTTACGTAGTAGCTTGGTAAGCTGGTGCTATGTGTCCTAGTTGTTACTATATTGTGTGTTTTAGCACTGCTGGAATGGGGAAAGAACAGTGTGTCATAGCGATTGAAGATATCTGTCTTGACTCTTGTGTGTGTGTGTGTTTAAAGAGACAAAAACATTGTGAAATGGGTGGACTGTAGGTGAGTGATAGACTCTGGTTCACTGATAGGGAAAGAAACTAAAGTCTTTTAAATCCACTTTTTGTAATGTCTATTTAATGATTTTTACCACCTGTCTTCATAGTGTGGTTTCTTTATCTTCATTTTCAGGCTTTTCTCTGTGAATATTCATATATATATATATATATATATATTAGGGCTGTCAAACGATTAATCGCATCCATAATAAAAGTTTGTGTTTACATAATATATGTGGGTGCACTGTGTATAACTAAAGGGTTAGTTCACCCAAAAATGAAAATTAAGTCATTTATTACTCACCCCCATGCTGTACCAACCCCGTAAGACCTTCGTTCATCTTCGGAACACAAATAAAGATATTTTTGATTGAATCTGAGAGCTAGATCAGTCCTACATAGACTGCCTAAGGGACTGGGTCTTGACGGCCCATAAAGTCATTAAAGAAAAGGTTTAAATATTCCATGTGCCTACAGCGGCTCAATTATAAGTTTATCAAGCGACGGGAATACTTTTTGTGCGAAAAAAACATAAATAACGACTTTATTCCACTATTCCAATACTTCCTTATGGGCGCATGCGCGAGAACTGAGACGAGGACGTTCTCCTTCGACTACTTTTTGTTACCGGCTGCGCCGCTTAGGAGTTTTACCGCCCCCTACCGTATAAGATGATGTGCTGATATAGCTGGAAGCGCAAAACTTTCTGTTTACAAGCAGAGGAAGATGCGCGCTGTACATACGCTTTTCAATTTGCGTATTTTCCGCACTATAAGGTGCACTTAAAAGCCTTTAATCTTCTCAAAAAACGACAGTGTTCCTTATAATCCGGAGCGCCTTATATATGGATCATCATTTTATACGGTAGGGGGCGGTAATACTCCTAAGCGGAGCAGCCGGTAACAAGAAGTAGACGAATGAGAACGTCCTCGTCTCAGTTCTCGCGCATGCGCCCATAAGGAAGTAATGGAATAGTGGAATAAAGTCGTTATTTATGTTTTTTTCGCCCAAAAAGTAGTCTCGCCGCTTGATAAACTTATAATTGAGCCGCTGTAGGCACATGGAATATTTAAACCTTTTCTTTAATGACTTTATGGGCCGTCAAGACCCAGTCCCTTAGGCAGTCTATGTAGGACTGATCTAGCTCTCAGATTCAATCAAAAATATCTTTATTTGTGTTCCGAAGATGAACGAAGGTCTTACGGGGTTGAAACAGCATGGGGGTGAGTAATTAATGACTTAATTTTCATTTTTGGTTGAACTAACCCTTTAAATTTGTATATATGTAAATACACACACATGTATATTTAAAAAAATATATTATTTATATATAAAAAATGTATATTTATATATAATATAAATTATACAGTATATACATGAAAATATTTCTTAAGCATGTGTATATATATATATATATAAAGCTGAATTTTAAGCAGCCGTTTTCAGTGTCGCATGATCCTTCAGAAATCTGATGAATTTAAAAGAACAGCATTTATTTTAAATAGAAATTTACTTTATATAACATGTCTACTGTCACATATAAGATATCCTCGTGGATTAAAAGTATTACGAAAAACAAAGTTCACATCCTTCATAATTATATTTTCGTTATTTGTCTTTTGACCATTTGACCACAGATCAACCACTGTTGAAATGGTTAATGGCCATTCAGTACCTTTTTTATCAATATAAATACAAATCTGTTTCTTTACTGGTCTCTGTGTGTGTTGGTCTTGAATCATTTGTATTTGCCTGCTGAACAACTGTACTAGCATGACAAACCTAGCTTGTATCTTTCCCCATGTATCCTTCAGGCCTTACACCGGCTGGAGAACATGCTTGAGGATCATTTCTTGCAAGAACTGCATAAAAGAGAAAATCTGAAACTAATTCCCAGTAATCACAAGTGATAGTCCTCAGGAGACCATTTGTTTGTCTAAAATCCTAAAAACCGTATTACCTTTAGTTTGACTTCTTTGGGAATGAGACCGTTGTACCAGTCGCACTGAGACATTTCAAATGATATCCAACATGTGTAAAACTGTATGATAATTATTCACATTAAAACCATATAGATTTTGGATGAACTTCAGGTGATCTCAGCATGAGAGAGAGAGGGAGTGAGATAATGATTCTGAGGTGAGACTTGCGTCTCGAATGGTGTACCGGAGTGAGTTCAAATGTTAATTTCCTTTGTTCTCTCAGAGAGTAGCTCATTCTTCATCTTCAGTTCTTACAGAAGTTTGCTTGTTCGAGCACTCTAAGGATTCACAGGTGTTTTCTGAGACTTTATTAAGACAATGGGTGAGGCTGAATTTTAAGTGTGAATCTGTTGGTGCATTGTTTCTCACCGTAAGTCATAGATATTATAGTAGATATTATCCTTACTTTTCTGTCAGGTCAGGAAGGTTTGGTAGTTCCCCGTCTTGTTCTGTCCTGTCCTGTCCATGAAATGAATAATAGATTAGCCCAATGGTGATGTGACAGCTGCGTGGGCTGTGTGAGATGTGTGTTTGAGTGTGTGGGGTGGAAGAATCTTGGGAGAAAAGTTTATACCTTTCTCACTGCTTCACCCCCCCAATCTCTCTCCTCTCAACTTTGGAATTTTCCCTCCATTCTCTCTCTCTCTCTCTTTCTGGTCTGTATCTGGAGAGAAAACCGTCATGAAACTTTAATGTGCTCTCCCTTTTTCTTCCTTCAAGCTCTACGGCTCTTTTTTTCTGCTTTTTTTCACCCTGCCATGGGTTTAGTCAGCTGAAGGTTTAGCTGTAGATTATTAACAATGAAACTTCACACTGTGTTATGGTTTAACACAATCTCAGCCATAGATTAAATCTTTGTGTAGTTTTGTGGCTGAATACAGTGCGTCTATCTATGGATCTATGTGTATGGCATATCATTTGTTTACTACTGTAACTAATATTAATATCT